CAATTAGAAGAAAATATGTGTGTGTGTGTGAAATCATACATATTGTCAGATTGAAACTAAATGCATACTTTCGATCTATCAGAAAATTTACAAATTCTGTTACTCGTTATGTTCACTGACCTACTTTGATTCAATTTTTCTTTATTTCCTGTAGAAATAATTTCAATCTGAGCTACCAAGCCCGGCAAAACTATATACCCACGTTCGATGGTACTCAGATGACCCTCCGTATGAAGCCGACAAAATTTTTAACAAGGTTTCGAAAATGCTCCCAACCACCCCCAATCATCAAAGCAAACGACACCGATGCGAGGGTGACCGAAGCTATAGGGAGAGAGACCTCAGCTTTAAATATTAGGAAATAAAATTCCCCAAAATTATCCAGATTCAGTGTCAGGATACTGTAACTAACTAATAGTCCTCATCCTTTCTAAGGCATCCAAAGATGGGCAAAATTCAGAAAGGCCAAACCTATTCGGACTTCGCTACAGGAATTCTTCGGACACATCAAGGAAGGTGATCGAATTTTGACCCGGGTGCAGTACAGTTCACTAATTTGAATCGTAACCTGGCTAAAATGAGGGCAAAGTTGCGTAATCATGGGACCAACATAATGCCTCTAAAAAATCAAGGCTTACATGATTAGTTTTTGAAATATTTGAAAAAAACCGAAATTTTGGAAATCCGTTTTTGTTTCATTGCAGCCTTGTTTGAGGCGATATTGAAAAAAGAAGAACACTTTCTCATGGCCACTTTTTGTCCTCTATCGAATGGCATAACCATTTTTGATATATAACGTTTCGTCTCTCCAGGACCATCATCAACTTCATTCTTTAAATACGACCCTGGAAATTTTATTACATTTTTGCAAGCCTGTAAGCAAGCCGAATTTGTAACAGCCTGTAAACAAACAAATAACATAACGCTAAACTCATTTATTGTAAAGACAGTTTTTCAATAAATCCCAAATTTTTGCAATTCAAAACATTGTTAGAAATTTTTTATAGTTAACTATTTTCATAGACTTGCCGGTAAATCTACACTTAAAATATTCGTTTTTATTTGCAATTCCAATTAAGCTGAGAGTGAGGCGGAAGTGAGCTAAAAGTCGAATTAATCTCACTTTCAAAACACACTTAATAGAGGCCTTTAACGACACTCAAGTAGCTGGCTCTTAGGAATTAATTTTCAACGTTAATATACCTACATTCCTCACAGCTACACTTCCTCCCTAGTAATTTTTCTGTGCGGTAAAGAGGTGTGCTTCACTTAATATTCTGAGGGCAATCTAACTTTATAACTCGGTTAATTTCTTTGTAGGACCTCGGGGACCCGACCATTCCGTCGCTCCGGGCAAAAATGACAATTATCCACTGATTAGTCTGGTACCTATTGAAGGTCCTTGTCCGTTTCGTACCGAACAGGTTTTTATCTAATATTTGACTTTGAAATTTATTTAAATTTTATTTGATGCAAGATCCCACTAATAACTTCTTTCCAATCAATGGTACCTTCTTAAATATTGCTTGTTAAATGGTATCTGTATCAAAAAATAATAAATTAATTAAAACAAATGAATCTATCGCCTCAGCAGAGCTACTAGATGTAGTAAAGGACTTATACCCACACCCTCGAGTTACAAAAACCCATGTAGATAGTTAAACAACTCGTTAGTGCAAGGATTTGCTTCTTGAATGTTGATATGTCTACCTAAATAACTAGAGCCTACTTTCTTCGTTAGGATGTTTCTGGAAAGTTAAATAGAATAACTTCTTGAGTTGAAACAAATGTAGGATCTGTAATCCTTTGAGAATGACGGAAAAAATGTTTGATAAAATTGCTATTATTATTGTCCTTAAAAAATAACCCCGAATACTGTGAAAACTGTAACTGTGTAATAGCCTTTAAATCAATATTGTGTGAATCTTCTTCACGATGTCTTTTATACTTCTCTGTATATAGTGACCACTTAACCAGGTCAACAGTGACGGTAACTCGGGAATATAAAAGTTGTTTTTAAGGTTGTTTCTATTCCTTGTTTCCGTCCATATCAATCCAAAAGTTATAGGTAAAATATCCCAGGAGTAAGACTAAAATTCTAAAAGAATTTGTTCCTAAGAGAAAACTTCGTTCCGGAAAATTTAATTTTATTAGATCGTAACAGATTGTGACACAGCAAAGCTCCGTTCTATTTTGCAGTGCATCAACAATAATCCGCCCTCGAAAACGCACATAAACAGGTGTTAAACTTTATTAAAGTGGCTCTCATTGAAACTCCCTCGTTACAAATAAGTACTGGATGTTTAAGCCTGTATAGAATAAAATACCCCGTCTCCACAGTCGTTTGTTAAGTATCATCTAAAATATTATATCGTATTTTTAATAATTTCAATTATATTGAACCATTACCAAAGAACCTTACACCCGAATTTGTTTAGTAAAATGACCACACAATTTTTATGCACAATATAAGTTAATTTCCAGTCAATTGGATATTATAATCCTAGAATAATAAAAATTCGAAAATTCTGAAAATTATGTTACAAGTTTATCTGGTCTGTAAAAATTTTTACTGGTCTTGTACATAGAAATAGCTTGTGGCATGGCATCAGTTTAGTTATTTGCTGTTAGTGACAGCAGAGAGAACTATGTGTGATTAAAAGCCAGACTTGTTGAATAATAATATTTTACTAATACGAGGGTCATTACAATTTGATAATACTAACTTTTTGGAAAGAAAACTGAATAATCTTAATAACTTTTCCCTCCCATAGCAGCAACTGTTGAAGGTATTACAATAATTAGCAAAAGCGCAACTGTTATATCTGAACCATTTGGTTTACATCACTCACCGAACATATTCTTCCATGAGTTTCTGAGATCGTATCTCTAGAAGCTATTGCATCCTATCTGAAAATTATGGAAAGGATAAATAAGAGAAATACCAGAAGAAAAGGTCTTCCAAAAATTTTAACAGATACGTCGAATGTATTGGAGAGAAACTAGGAAGAAATCGAATAATTCCTACATGTACCTCTAACTAGTACGCAGTGGAAACATGGTATTTGCCAATAGTACAGTCATTGAAGCTAAAAATCCCTCCGAATTCTTTGAAACTGCATGGATTTGCATGAAAATTTAGAATAAGGCTCATCTTAGGCTCAAGTTCAAAAGTGACATAAACCCGATTGACGCTTTTTGTTGTTTAGGGGTAAAAACTACCACTAAGTGAAAAAAATTTAAAAAATTAAGTTTTAAGCATTTTATTGATAAAAATCTTGTTCAAGCACAAAGATTAAATAATGTTCCATGTTCTGGAACATGTTTTATGATATATTTGATCTTTTCGACCCTTTATTTAACCCTTAAAAACTACCCCTATGCAAAAAATAATGATAAAAAATTACTTTTTAAAGATTTGGAATGATTAAATCGTGCAATTATTTAAAATAAAAGTTACCTTATAGCTAATAAAAGAATTTTTCCCTTTCAACCCCTAAAAACCACCCCTGTATTGACAAAAATGATAAAAAATTACTTTTTAAAAGCTTGGAATGCTTTAACGGTGCAATTATTTAAAATAAAAATTCCCTCATTGCTTATGAAAGAATTTGTATCTCATAACACTTTTCAACCCTTATAAATCACCCCTGTGCTAAAAAAATGATAAAAAATTACGTTTTAAATCTTGGAATGCTATAATTGTGCAATAATTTAAAATAAAAATTCCCTTATATTGTTTATGAAAGAATATTTTACTTTTGCCATTTTCAACTCTTATAAACTACCCTTTTACCAATATTAATGTAAAATATTTTTATTATAATCGATTTTTAAATATAATCAATCATAAAAAAATTGCTACGCTGCATATAAATAATCACACTAAATTTTTTTACTTATTTTATTTGTATAATATAATTTATGTATAATATATAAAATGAGAAAGCCTACTTTGCTGCGAAAAAATGTCATTGTTTTTTTACCATAACTCGGTTAATTTTGAAGCTATAGTATCCTACAAAAAAAGCATTTTAAAAATAATTTCAAGAGTTGTAAGATCGTTTGCATATAAAACCTTTTAAGTCATTCGTTTTTTAAAGGGAAAGGATCGAAGGACTCGAGACAGGTCGTTTTTTCACTAAAATGGATATTCAAGCGGCGATATCTCCTTTATTTTTTATGCTATAGGAATAAAAAAAAGCAAAATATTTGTTGAAAAAAAAAGCTACATTTTTGTTGTCTATCATTTTTTACGTATCTTTCATAGTTTCAGAGTTATTATACTATAAATAAGACATTTTTTTTAATAATGAAAAAAACGTCTAAACCGGTCTAAATTCAGGATCGTATGAAAAACACTAAAACAAAACTAATTGTAAAGAGTCTACGATTAATTTTAATTCTGATTTACTGCTCATTTTTCCTTAAAAAATATGAGCAACCCATCTGTTTTTGGCGATAACTCCTTCAATTTTGCTCTAATTAACTTTTATAAATGCTCATTTTGAAGGTCTTTTTGAGAACTACAAAAAACTCCAAGAGCGTTATACACGTAAAATTAATCCTTTTTCCGTCATTTGACGTTGAATACATCGATTCGAGTATTCCCCCCAAAACAATTCCCCTTCCACTAACCATTTTTCGCTTTGTATAGGACATACAACACTTTCTAAAAAACGATTTTCTTTGTTTATTTATAAGCTACATTTTTGGTCATTACACTTTTTTAATAAAATGCGTAGTTTTCAATCTTGAATAACTAAAAAACTATTGATTTTTCGAAAAAATTCTTCGAATATTTTTTGCTCCTTGAAAATCTATCTCCCGCTATATACCAGGTTCCCCCACCCACTCAATTTTCGCGTACATCCGTTTATTCCAGCTATTTTATCGTCTACCAAATAAGAACAAAAAACAGCTTCTCATTCCCGTCACCACGAATTTAAATATTAAGCCGCAAAAAGTCGTGTCGACTCATCTCCGATAATTCATTTCAGCCTGTCGTCAGATGGAATTCGGCGTTCAAGCGATATTCGGCCCGTCGGATCCAATATTGGGCGCGCATATTCAGAGCATTTGCGAGGCCCTGGACGTGCCGCATCTCGAAGCCCGAGTAGATTTCGAACCGTTGTCCAAGGAGCTGTCGATCAACCTGCACCCCAGCCAGGAGCACATGAACAAAGCGTTCAAGGACCTGATGATGTTCCTCAACTGGACAAAGGTCGCCATTATCTACGAGGAAGACTACGGTGAGTCCAGTCGATATAGCAGTCAATATTGTTGTTCGGTGTATGATGTAGGTGAGGTACAAACAGTATTGTGAGCGAATGATGAATTGCGGTCTATATTTAGTGAGCTATAGAGCGTGTTTCATTAGGCTTAGACTTTTATCATATTATGTAGCTCCTTTTTGTTCACAGCGCGTAAACAGTTTGCAATACAAACGAAATTTTTTATTACCCACTGGGGTCAAAAAACTTAGGTAACTAGTCTAGTCAAGAGATATTGTTTCTAACTTGCTTAGATTTTCTAAAATGTTGGGTATAAACGTCTCCCTTAATAAATTCAGTAGGTTAGTAATTTTTACTAAGTTTTATACAGGATATCTGGCAATAATTACGTGTTTTTTTCATTTAAAATAGGAAAAAGCAAAGGCTTGCAATAACCCAGTCGTAATATCTTCACAACATTATCTTCTGTTAATAAAAACATCTTGATCTTAGTAATTTCATCGTTAAGAAAAAAAATCACTAGTACGAAGACACAAATTTTGTCATGTTTCCCTGCTGAAAACTTACCACCGTAGATCTGTAAACTAATCAGTGAACCGATTTTAATTAATTTAATTAAAACAAACAAACTAAGGCAATAAAATTACATCCAGTTTCAGGCAATATTTGAAAACATGTAGGCCGTTGTTAATTAATATCACACCAGCAAACTCATAACAAAACGTGGACAATATAAATGGGGTGTATATCCGGAAATGGAAAAGTATTTATTAACTTTAATAAAATCACATCTGCAGCGTGGTTTTGAGTTATTTCGGTGTTATCAGCTCGACATAGAAATATTTCCTTCTCTCGCAACCGATAAGAATTAAATATAATTTAATTTATAGTCACGGACGACTGTTGTTTTTTTTTTATATAAAATCGTCTTTCTTCCCAGTAGCGCTTGATTTAAATCCATGTTTATATTGTTGACTTTTTTTGCAGGAAGCTTTTTGCATATACAGGGTGGGCCATTTAACACCCCCGCTGCCAATAACTCCGAAACGAAGAAATTTATTTTAGTTCCGGAAACTGGGGTTCTTAGGTAACTCGAATAGCTTCAAATTGCAGTTAGAATTGTTAGTTCAAATCTTTGTACATAGATGGCGTGGCGATACTAAAAAAATTTTGATTCTTGGAACGTGGAAATATGGTCCATCTGAAAGACCGTTAAATTTTGAGTAATTTTTGTAGTATAAAGTTTTTCCAAATATTTACTTGTTTTCGAGATATGTCAACTTCAATATGGAATGTATGATGTAACAGGAAAGTCTATTATTTTATTTAAGTCACACTGACACAAAATATTCTTTTAAAATATTGTTATAATGGCTTTATGCACACCACATACTAACTAACAAACAATAAATTATAAAACAAACAAATGATCAACTACAGAGAAAAAAATTGTACAATTTTTTTTACAATTTTTGACTAAAATAAATTTCTTTATTTCGGAGATATTGGCAGCGGTAGTGTTAAATGGCACACCTTGTATATCATCAGTAATGTTAGCAAGTTATAGAACAGAACGAACATAATTTTCCAGATAGATATATGTATTTAGAATACATAGTTATATCAAAGTAAAAGTACAAAATCTAATATTAAAAAAGTACTATTAAAAGAAAACAATTTAATTAAAATGGCAGATCAATACATTAGACTTTTTAACTAATGACAGTGTGGGCAAAAATTACTTATACTTTCATAGCGCCTACAGATTAGCAGGCCACTCTCTGTCAGTAAGTAGGTATGAAGCAATGCGTTGTGCTAGTAAACACTGAGTAGTAGTGAAAGTTAAAATATGACATATTTTGTAGCCCATTTGAATAAATAAAAATACTAGTTGGTATTAAACTAGAATCTAAACAGATTGTCACATTTTTGACGTCGTTTCAAAATTTCACTTTTTATGTAATAATAATATTCAAATATCCAATTTTAAAAAGTATGTCACCCTGAGAATAATGTAGAATTAGGTCGGCTCATCTATTGTGTTTCATTACATGAGTTAATTTTTTTTTATTAATATTTGGATGGATTTTTTAGGTAGTTACTGATTACTAATTGAGAGATAACATTATTTACTAGATATTGTGTGTGTAACTCAATGCTGGACAGTGCTTTAGTCCGCAGAGTAGTTGTTACCCACGATATAATTAGTTATTAATGACTTTTATTATTTCTGCGGAAAAATCTAATTCACTAGAAATTAATTTCCAATAAAATAAAACGTCATCGTACACTAAAAACGATTCCCCTCATCTCTCGTGTCTCTGCAGGAAGTTAATTTATCGTCCCACTCAACTATCAGATATAGAAACGTTTTTACAGCGCTGCAAGGGATTAGATCGCTGATATGACGTTAAATATGGGAAAATTCGCAACTTCGATTGTGATAGAGCGAGATATTCAATGATTCCACTCGTTCCTTTCAAGCCCGGTACATTAACCAGTGCCGCAGCATTAAGTCCTTAAATAGCCAAAACCCTCCTGCTGCTCCCCTAATCCATCTTAGATTCCTTATCCTATAATGGAAAAGGCTGTCTTTTTCAGGTCAAACGTACAAACATGACGTATAATAGGCTTCGCCTGTAACATTCCGAACGTTTTCTTCCATATGTTTTTCATTCACAGTCTGACCTTTAACGATGTTAGTACGGGGTCTTTCCGAATGGTCTTTTTGTTGCGAATTTCTTGCTATTAAAACGTTTCAAGAGAGCAAGCTGTTGTTTACAGGGTGTGTCAGAAAATGTGTGACAGTTCAAGGGGAGATCCAAAAGTACGACAAAAAGTTTCGTTCCGTAAAGCAGCGTAGGCCACTGATGTGTATTGCAAAAGTCTTGGCGTTGTAGCATTTTGTATACATTTACCGTAAATCAGTAGTACATCCACCAAATTAGTGCAATTTTACATTTTACTCACAATAGTCTAATACTGATACACAAGAGTCTTGTGGATGCGGAATATTGACAGTTAAGAAGCAAGTAATTTTGAGACAAGCAACAGATACCTACTGTTAAAACAAAGAAACAGCCATTGAAACATTCTAACTTATTAATCTATGTTCATCATCAGATTTACTGGTGATTGCTACGAAAAAAAATCATCAGCATCCGACTTGTCCACTGATTTCTTTTAGTTTGAAAACATGCTTTGGTACTAATCACAATTCCCGATATCCCGTTGTCCAAAAAATAAGGTGAATTTGTTTCAAAAATAAAAAATTTACGTATGCTTCCAAATCAATTCCGTCGCCTTCAAAGTAATCCCCACCCGATAAAATGCACTTATGACAACGGTTTTTCTAACTCTTGAAACAGTCTGAAAAGCAGAATATTTATTCCGCAAACAAAATTTAATGTAAATTCTTTGCTCAACAAAATCAGACACAGTGAAAATCAATAATCTCATTTTCGTATGTTTAGAAAAACACGAGTAGCTTTGCAGCAATTGAATATATTGACTTGAAACTCTGCATAGATATCAAGGACAGTACTAACAACCTAGAAAAAATAATTGTGTACTTTCATAATACTCGCGAATTTCAGATAAGCAGTTTACCTTATTTTTTGGACACGTCCGATAAAACGTGCAACGGCAGTATTAGTTCTAGCCGACTACACATTATCTGTCTACTGAAGTAAAAAAGTACATGTCCATTTAATCCGAATTAAATCCACTCAGATTACACACTACACATTATTTAGTGTTTCCCAGTATTTGTTTTATTCGGCTCAGAGAACACAACCGAGAAGAAAATAAATTAGCGTGTTCCATGGGGCGAACGTGTTTTTATTTTCTGTCCGCAGATTCCTTTTGCCATTATCTAATGGCTTCCGTTAAGTAATTAATGGATGTCTGTGGTATCCTGTCTCTTTTAATATATACGAAATAATTGTAAACTCCTTTCAGGGCTTTTCAATCAATCGGTTGTTGACTGATGGAAAGCTGACTGATTAAAAAACTGTGCTTTCCGTCGCTCTAACTTTACGGAAAGTCAACATCTGACTTTTAATGTTTGTAATTTTTTTATGTGAGATATTTTAGAATCTCCTTGGCGATAATTCAACGCGATTCACATATCCCGAGCTGGTCCTAATTGAATACACGTATAATTTAACAGTTAGTCGAAGATTTCAGCTAGTCCCTCAACGTTCGAGGGCTGGCGTAGCGCTGACCGGCGTTCGGGGACGGTTATTTACGTACCAATTAAAATGATACGGAACATCAGATAAAGCGGCATCCCCAGCTGAGCACACATACATTAATGTGTTTAGTTCTAAATACCACAATGATGAAGGTCTATATATCATCCCAAGTAAAGCGCTGTTTGTTGTCTATTAGTGTATTGGGGAATGCCCCACTCGATAAATTACGGACAGCATCCTGAAAACTCGATACAGCGGCCGTAATCTTTGGCGTTGACTGTGAATCGACGTTCACAGTCGACCTTAATTATTGCATACTGATTATAATAGCGATCACGTTTGTCGGCAGTGCATCATCAACCGCCATTTATAAGTTGGACGCTGGTTCATTCCCCAATTCCATGGTGGGTGAGGGTGCCCGGAAACAAGTGGGCCATATTCTATGACTACGTGAACCAGGCACCTGATTTTTTAACATCCAATTTGTTTGTCAGTCTTGTAAGTTATGGTACGCAGTTGTGGGACCTTTAAAGAACCCATCCCTGATTTTCACAGTATTTTGAGTTATATTAAGTATACATCAAAGTTCAACAAACTACAAACGAACGCTACTACAAATAACTACAAAAGATTTTAGAGCCAGAGCTTAGAGAATAATGACCGTAACTGCAAATTAAATAAACGTTAATACAAACGATTTTAGACAACTATATTGGATTACACTGACTATACGTTAAATTTCAAGAAACTACAAATGATTTTAGAGCTAGATCTTCAAGAATAATGACGACCTTAGATGTGTAGAAACTACCAATGAAATAAGTGGTAATAATAACGATTTTAGTCTAATGATAACGATTTTAGTATTATATCGACTGTACGTCAAATTTCAATTAGCTACAAATGAAATAAACAGTACTACAAACAGCTACAAACGAAATAAATGCTACAATTGATTCTAGACACTTAGCTTGGATTATAGTGACTATGTAAAATCGAAAAACAAAAAAAAAAAAAACAACAACAAAAAAGACTAAAAAAGATTGTATAAAAATACAGTTTAAAGTATAGTAAAATTTCGAGAAATTGCAGAAGAAATAAAGCTCTAACATTTTTCTTGCTACTACAATCAACCACAAACGATTTTCCACTGAAATCACCGACGGATTTGGGGGTATATAGGGTGATTCGAAAATCGAAAAGGGCATTTTGATAACACTGGAAACTGGTCCACTGTAAATATGTATCACCGTGTATACAACTGTACTTTAAATTAATGTTCACAACTTCATATTATAATAAAAATGGAAAGCCCATATCGTCTTAAAGAAGTAAAATTGTAGTAAAGGATTTTGATTTAAATCTATCTGTATCCAAAGAAGCTACCCTTGAAAAATGGCTCGTTCATTTCCGGACACTTTGTACAAGTTAAGCTCTCCAATAAATTTTAATATTTTTTCAGAAAATAATCAAAACGCTGTACTAGATTAATTTGAAAAGAGTATTAAAACTTTCTTAGAAGTAAACAATTTTAGAAGTCTGGAAAACACGTTCCTTTTTTTCTTGCTTTCTAATTGGGAATCACTCCTTTACAGCCATATATTGAAATATCGTACTTTACAGCAAAGGTGCCACTATAATATATTTATGTTATATGAGAAGGAATTAGCCGGTTTAAATATAAATTCGAATTCATATTATTCGAACTTCAATACTGTTTGTACCTATACCAATTTCGAGGGTTCGTAAAGAAAATCGTATTTAAGATATTAAATAAAAAAAAAAATAATTAAAGATAAACATGTTCATTTTTTCTTTTCACAAAATGGAACGATGGATTTCTTTCTTCCAGTTCCACTTATAGGGGGAAAAGGTTAGAAGCCGTACAAGTTTTAAGCTGTTCTTAGTAATTTTATTAGTTATTTAGAGCTTAAGGCTTCCTAGTAATCTGTCTGTTTTCAGCTGCATGCCATTCACTTTTTCACCTTTGGAGCACGATCGGTCGTTGAGCTAAAGTCATTTTACAAAAAATAAATAATCCATGTTTTATATTTTCTTCGAAAAACTGTTACTGACTGTTTTTAAAAATACGTATTTTATAATTTTAATCAAAACAGTGATAAAATGATTTTATGATATGGAGAATTCCTCAAAATATTTTAGTTTCCTGTTAAACAGTTCTGTTCAGTTTATTTTCCAAGCCATCGGATAAAATAATTTTAAAGGTGACTGCAATAAAACACCTGTTGGATATGAGAGCGGAAGAGAAATCATAAATTTTAAATCTTAGGAATACTCTCCACACATAGATTACGCTCTAAGGTAAACTAAGTTTCATCAATATTTATTAACTCGGTACAGTCTTTCGAGTTTCGTTTGACATTTGACGGAAAACTCTTTGACTCTAAAGAAACAGCGGCTTGAAATATATTTGTAACAGTTTCCTCCATTTCAAGTCGAAGAATTGCTCGAAATACAGGTGGATAGATGATTGCCTAAAGAAAATTTGAAAAAACAAAATATTGATTTCGAGTAATAATAAATTAACACAAGTAATCATTATTATTAAAGCAACTACATCCTCTCAAATTTTCAAAATTGTCCTCTGAATTTTTATTATTACCACTTGAAAAAAAAAGACTTCCGACAGGTTTAATATGTTTACAAAAACACTGCTTTATATTCGAAGATATGCGATATTTTAAAAATGATCTCAGCTCAACTTTCAATCAATCTTACTATTTAATTCCGATTAAATATTTTTATTACCAAGTCATTAATTCTTTCTCATACATCCGCAGCATGAAACTTGTTATGCGCCTTTTTCAATATGCCTTTATAATGATTTGCTGTTTAAAAAATCCCAGTTCCACAATTACATAAAGTATACAACTCTTGCCCATAAATTAAATGCGTTTTATGAATTATCAACGACACTGTCACGAGAAAAGAATGGCAGAATCGAATTTCGACGGGATAGCTTTAAAAGAGAACCGACCGTAATCTAGAAGGTTTTATTTATTCTTCAAAAGGCTAAAGATTCATCGATTTTCGTTGGTAATGATGAATGGCTTCACTGTGTACACGACAGTTTACATTCTGAATATTAATGATGTGTACGAAAAACATTCTGGTATTATCCGTTCTCAAAATCTTTCAATGTAAGGCGTAAGAAGAGCGGTATGTCCTTCGATCCATCTCTGATTAGTTCAAGCGTGACTTATTTTTAGGTCAACTTTGACACACGGCTTGCGGATTACAACTTCCGGTCTTTATTTTAGATTAGAATATTCATATTATTATTTTTTTCTAACGAATCGTGAAATTATTCCTTTAAAACCTTCAATAAAACAAGAGTAGGTACATACGTCGCCTATTGGCTAAAATCATACGATGGTGCACCAGTCGGCCAATCAATTATTTTTCTTATACTTTAATCTGAATACATTTGTAGTGAGAGTTTCAAGGACACACAATCGATGGGCGGTTCCATGATGTACACCAATATCGATTAATACAAAACATTGAACTATTGATCTCGGGCTGGACTGAAATGTCACAGATAAAATCTTACATGGTTAACAAAGTAAGCTTCTCATATTCGCAGAAATTTTATTTTCGGAGCCATAAAGAAATGAATGAAATAAAATTATATTAAATCTCAGACGGACCTATTAAAGTCATTAGGAATTGTATTTTATATATTGTATGGGTGACTATAATATCCTGCTAAAGTTTATTATCTAAGAAGCAGCCACAGCTGCCTTAAAAGCAGCTATTATAACACTCTTTGAGATATTCTTAACATCTAACTGCCATCACTTTTGGGATATTACGACTAACAGTTGTTCGAATGATAAAACCATATTGATTTTCTTCCTCTCATGACTCCGTCCTTTCTATTTCATATTCCTTGAACACAAAAATCCATGTTGTTTTATTTTGGGTTATTTTTGTTACTTGTTTGAAAAAATGTATAGTTCTGTAACTGAACAATTTTGAATAAAGCTAAATCTTAATTTGAATAAATATCTTCATAATCCCAATCTGAGTTCGTGGTAAATTTGTAACTGATACTCATTGGTATTTTCCTTAGTTTCAGCCTCAAAATTAATGTGTGTATTTATTTCACCCTCCATAAATTTCGTAAAGGGTAATGTATTTAGCAAAAGACATTCTATAAATCGTATTTTGCCGATATTTAGAGCCACACTTCTTCTACATACTTGTATCGTGAAATATGGGTTTTAGTTAAGACTAAATTGTGATTCTATAGCATAAACCTCAGAAAATATGGAATGGTGCATTGAAACCTTTTGATAAATGAAAATTAATTCAGTTTATCCTTGTTCTCACTCATCTCTTGTCAGTAGTTCAATGTTCAATACTAAATATTACAACTGGTTTCGAGATACAGAGGATGGCAAAAGTGTAACTTCAATAACAAATAGTGATTATTAACGTCTATAATAGAGTCATTTTCTATACAGAGTGTTCAATCATCAGCAGCTTCTGCGATAAAGGTTAAGGTGGTTCAAATAGAATTTTATTGAAAAATATTTTGTTTCCGGGATACAGGGTGTTCAAGTTAAAGATATTTAAATTAATTAAAATATGATTATTTAGCCAAACAGGCCTTAACGGTTTGAAGACAATTTTCAGGCATTTATTTGGGTGAGTGAAAAAAATTGATGAAATGAACTCTTACACCAGAAGGATTAATTTCATATATCTTAATTTTCTTTTCACTGGTGGCAAAATTCCCAAATACTTAAATATAGGAAAATTAAACTATGCTAAAAATGAGGTGATGTTAATAAAGTACTCTACATAATAAAATTGTATTTATTTTCATAGCAAAAAATAAATTAGAAGTTATGCCATCAAAATTCAAAAAAGCTAATGGCATTATTTTTTTCCAAAACTATTTCAGTCCCAACTAGTACGCATGTTAATGGTTTAGCTGTCTACACCTTTGTAACGTTTAAATGTGTATTAATATAAAGATTTTTTGAAAAAATAAATTGAATTTTCCTATATGGGTCGAAATGTACATTTCTTCCAAAGATTAGACCTAAGTAATTTCAATCATTTCTCTTTAATTTCATAACTGTGCCACCTGATTGGAGTCAATCTCTTCATTTAATAAAATTTAAAATTTTACTGAAGACGTAATAAAACCGTATTATGCTTTTTTATTTAACTTAAACAAATTCAAACAAGGTTTGACACAGAATAGATGTTTCGGGCAATATCATCAATTTAGTTTTTGCATACCTAGATTTCTGTTTAACTTCATTTGTCGATTTCTGTTTAACTTCAATTGTTGGAACTTAATTGCATTTGTTGGAATTCTTGGAATTCTTTTGTTGGAAGCCTTAGAATTTGTTAAAGTTCTTGGAATTTGGAAATCTTGGAATTTAGAACTCTTGTAATTTGAAATTCTTGGAATTTGGAATCCTTGGAATTCTTGGAATTTGGAATTCTTGGAATTGGAATTTGTTGGAATTCTTGGAACTTCATTTGGAATTCTTAGATTAAATTTTGAATTTGTTTGATTAACATAATGCTTTTAAATAAAATAAAAAGCTGTTTTTTAAATAATATATCACGCTTGTTAAAATAGATATCGTGAATGGTTTATGAAATATTAAACGAAGATTATGATTACAAACGACTTGGTTGCCTAACAACTAACAATAGTTTTTTTTCTAACGTCTGCTTATGACACACATTTTGGATATATCTCTCTTACAATAATTAGCGATAGACCCATCGAATCGAACGCTATATTGTTGTAATCGCAAGAGGGGGATATATCCAAATAAGTAATAATATATCTGGAAAAATAACGGTCTTGCAACAATGCTATTGTGCCATCGGATTGGCATATTCTTTTACTACGTATGTGTATAAAAGGCTGTCTCCATAAAAGCACTGTGCTTTGTCTAAATGAGTAATCATTTTATTTTGTATTATAGTACAAAGCACCCTGTATGTAACAATTTTTTTTATTTTATTTTACAGACTTCTTTGGAGTTTTCGAAACATATTAATTAGACAACGAAGACGTAAGGTGTAATATGTTGCTAACCAGAACCAACAGAACAAATCGAGAAATGGCGGAAAGCCAGTGTGTGACATTCGTCCTGTATCTTTGAAGCATGAACAAACAGTCTAGTTATTAGGCAGCCCTTATATTATATCAGTTTTACAATGTACTAAATTGACAAAGAGATATTGTGAAAATATTTTTTAATAAATTTTGCTTTGGTTTCACTTCTGTTTTATTTAAAAAGTGAAATTTCATGAATTTTTGTTCATTGGTACAATAAAACTGAAACAGTAATGATTTATTAAAATCATAAAATTCAAATTAAACAATTTTGTTAAAAAAATATTCCTTCTTGGTCCAGCCTGGAATGTCAGGGAGTACATCCACAAAAAAATCAACAAAAAAACCCACTCTATTTTATTTGAAGTAATTTGCAATTTCTGATCCGGAGCGAGAGGAAATTTTTGGGCCTTTTTTTTGTTAAAAATTGACAAAAAATGGAACAAAAAATTCGGTAGGGAGGCGGAGGGGAAATTTTTTATAGCAAAAAATGGAGCAACAAAATCGGAGTAGGGGCGGGGGGGAAATTTTTTATAACAGAAAAGGGAGCAAAATATTCGGTGGAGGGGCGTGGGGGAAATTTTTTATAACAAAAAAGGGAGCAAAAAATTTAACAAAAAATGCTTGCTCTTTTCCTTAAAATTTAATTGAAAATTGTATTTTTGTTTTGTTAAAAATTGACAAAAATTGGAGCAAAAAATTCGGAAGGGGGGCGGAGGGGAAATTTTTTATAGCAAAAAAGGGAGCAAAAAAATCGGGGGGGGAGGCGGAGGGGAAATTTTTTATAACAAAAAATGGAGCAAAAAATTAACAAAAAAATCCCCTCTTCCTTAAAATTTAATTTAAACTAGTACTTTAATTTTTACTTAACCACAAAGTGCTCGCCAGTCTATAACGAAACCGGGAGAAAATTGCATTTCGCCAGTAGAAAAATGAATTTGGTTTCTTCGTACGAATTTGTGCGCTACGCTTCCTTGTAGCCACGTTGATCGAAGCAACATCAAAAATATACTCCCAGCTCCAGACGATTTACTCAACGTATAGGTACTGGGAACATACATCTTCGAATGCTGCTCCTTCTATCTGTTCGGCTTCCTGAGGAAATCCTCCTGAAAAAAAAATCAAAACATTTTTATACCAGGCTAAGCATATTGTCAACAATATGCCTTAGCGAAAAGCAAGTATCAGAAGTGAACTACACAGGCTTTGATTAGTTAAAGAGAATTTCGCTGAAATTTTGTAGAGGATCAAAAAACAAGTGATACGTATTTTTTATCGGGCGAAAAACGTTCTAAGAGGGAGAAAACCACCTTCAAAGTTCATCCCCAAAATCAGTTTTTTGAGAATATCTCAAGTACAATTTCATAATTTTTTATGAAACCGACTGGCAATTATTTTGTACTAAAATACGATATTTTGCGCAGTATTTTGATCCCTTAGTTTTTAGGGGTAAATAATAGGCTTTTTTATGTTTGTTCTGACCTGCGAAAAAAAACTCAAATAGTCCTCAATGATCAGTGAAGGATCTACCTCATTAAAAATTCCTGTTTACGTAGATTGGAGCTTTCTTTGATGAGTACTACTTGTACGCCTTCAATTTCCTCGTTATATATTTTTCAACGCCCTTATGATTCTATAGAACCCTTCATCTTCGTATACATTTAAAGAGCCATTTCAATAATTCCGATTTCAAACAGTAAAAGACGCGATGAAAAAGAAATTGGAACCCGACATCTATCTTGTGTATCCAACTTCAAATTCCCCACAATAAAATTGTCGCAGCGGAATATATTAAAGGAACGATCTAAGATATCCGCGACGGAACAAACAAACCACCTTATTAGAATATGGCCCCAGGTGTTTCAAAAGAAAGGAGCCGGGAATTGAAATAATTCGGAGAAAGTGAAATCCTATTTCGGCTTGAATGTAACGCGGAGAATAGACAGCAAATAACCAGTTCAACTTCCCTAAACAGAGTTATAAAGTTGTGACGTAGGATATGAAATTGAAATTAATTTATGGGCAAGAATAACAGATGATTTCCATTCCCATTAAACCCTGTATTCCGCGCGATTGTTATAATTTGACCGAGTTCTTGATTGCTATCCGAAACCCTTACAAATCTGAGTTTGCCACAACAACCATTTCTGTTTAAAAGTCATTTACGGGATAAGTAACGCTACTATAACTTTGCTCGGATTTAGATTGTTCGAAGAAACTTAATTACAGAATGCAAAGAATTGATCAAAGGGGGCTTACTTAGACAAATGCCAGGATACGTCCAAAAAGTCTGGAAACACCTAAATAATTTCCCAGGTAAATTATTTTTAAAAAATTTTAAGGTCATTCTTGTAGCAACATTTGGCGAGGAATTCAATGGTGACCTTGGATTTGACCTTGAAGGTTATTTCAAGGTCATCTCCATTTTTTAATGGAAACCCCCTTTTTCGACGTCAGCAATCGAAAGAGCGGAAAATTTTACGTCCAAAAACTCTAAGGTCATCAATCAGGGTTGACCTCATTCGAAGGTTATTTAAATTTGGGGGCTGGATATCTCCGAAAGACGCAGTTGATGAAAATAGTACAAAGCTCACTTTAGTTATTTTGTTTAACTGCAATTAGTGGTGACTCGACCTTCTTGGTGTCCTTCAAGGTCATTTCAAGGTCTTTCTTTTTACTGAAAATCTCATGTGACGTCGGAAATCAAAAGATCGGAAGTTTTCATACTTGGGTGCTTTATTATTATCGTGAGTCCCTTTGCCTCACGTTTGGGGTGCTAAGTTATCGTGAAAAAAAAAAATTTGACCTTCAAATGACCTTGAAGGACAAGATGATCGAGTTTGACGTCACCACTAATTGTAATTCAAAAAAGTAACTGAAGTGAGCTTTGTACTATTTTCATTAACTGCGTCCCTCGGAGATATCCAGCCCTCAAATTTAAATAACCATTTAATGACCTTGAAGATCAACTCTGATTAGAGTTTTTGGACGTAAAATTTCCGACTCTTTCGATTGCCGACGAAAAAGGGGGGTTTCCATTTAAAAAAATTGAGGTGACCTTGAAATAACCTTCAGTCATGATCAAGGTCAAACCCAAGGTCACCATTTAATTCCTCGTCAAAAGTTACTACAAGAATGACCTTAACATTTTTCAAAAATAATTTACCTGGAATATTCAGGTGTTTCCAAACTTGTTGGACACCCGGTATATATGTAAACTAAGAACTACAATAATTAATTCTACTACTTCCTCATGAAAATGCCAATAAATGTAAGTCCAGACTTTTACTTATTTCCAAAGCATGCTTATAAATTTAATAATAATAAATTTCTTAGATAAAGGGTCTGGCAGGATGAATAATTTATTTCCTCCTTCTTTCTCCGAGGTTATGCGGATAACTTTTCATAACAAGCAAAATTTTTATTCATCTAGAAGTGAAAGTTCAATGAAAACATCGAAATTATAATATTTGTAGGTATTATTATTATTAATAGCAGTATCTTCAGTGTGATTCAAAAAGGACATAAATTTTATCGAGAGCTTGGACGATATTTCTTTCACGACACAAAGTGGCTTTTAGCATGGATTAGTATCAAGCTAAGGGCACTCGCTGTCGCCTTTTGTATTTTTTTCATCTTTCTCTCCACAAAGGAAATCAAGATTTTATTCGACTATAAATAATTAGTATATAAATAAAACGATTCGCTATTAGTTTAGATAGCAGATATTTTTAAACATTTTATTTTCCTCATATTTCACAAGAAATTTAAAAGTTTCCAATACAAAAGCACAATATTTATTTTCCAATTTAATCGAATTAGTAACGTTAATAATTAAGTAAATATACATGCTGAGTAAAAGTCAAAATGCTTCTTTAAACAGAAAATTGAAAAATAGCCAGAATGTAAGGGCGCACCATTTTCCTACCACCACTGTAATCTGGGAATGGAGAAAAGTCCAACCTACACAACGACACCAAAATCACTCCGATCGAACGGCTTCTGTATCTTGTCAGAAAAACAAATTTTTGCTCCCGTAGCATATTTTTGTAACTTGAGAAAGGTTTTTCCAAAAACGCACATTTGCAGAACGGTACAATTTCATTCATTTAATTGACCAGATACGAATCCATACTGATCTGAACTGTAATCTAATAATAAATGGAAAAACCGGATAAAAGCGGACAGATGACAAACACAGTTAAAAACATAAAACAGGAAACGACGCTTCGACGAATAATTATACGAATCAACAGGTTCGATAACTTCAACAAAGGAAATACGGTTAAGAAAAGAATTTAATCCGCCCCATATATTTAAAGTCTGTATGCGAGGGGCGATGAAAGCAAATCATTATAAAGGTGTAAGAGGGTAGTTAGACAACAATAGAATAAGATATATCTGGCGGAAATTTCATTTGTTGAGGTATGTTTCAGGGCTGTTCAAGCTGCAGGAGTTGGTTAAGGCCCCTGCTGCGGCTCGGACTGAGATGTACATTCGACAGGCGAGTCCCGCCTCGTATCGACAGGTTCTAAGGGAGGTCAGGCAAAAGGAGATTTATAAACTCATCGTCGACACCAATCCCAGGAATATACAGCAGTTCTTTAGGGCGGTAAGTTAAAGAAATGCGAAATAACTGTGCCTCACTAATAAGAAATACTTAAGTTTACAGTGGCGGATGGTGCGGGGGGGCTCTCGGGCGGCGCCCCCCCTGAAAATTTTCAAATTTGTAAAGTGCAGTCAATTAACTCGACTTGCAAAATTCATTTGAAAAGCTCTGAATTCGTGGGCTCCGCGTAGCTCGCTCCTCATCATCTGTACATCTGTAAAGTGTTTACAGCGGTGGTCATGGTTACCGTCGCACACCAGTGGAAGAATCTGATTGAATTTCTAGCATTTTAATGTGTATTCGCAAAATAAATAATTTTCCTTTGCACATTAGATACGGTTGGAAGTTATGCATTTATCTCTACGTGTTTTTGGTGACAACACTTTTTTATGATTCTCTACAAACTACAGCTGTGCAAGATAAAACAACATTTTTATTGAAGTATACTTATGAAATTTTTGTTAACTAAAACTTAATGTTGCACTGCTTACCGTATGAATTTTGTTTAAAATAATCCAGCTACCATAAAAGAGGAATAAAAGAACATTTTCTCCGTCGAATAATAATTATCTAGAGTGCTGGTGAGAGAATGTAATTGGAAGCATAATGTTTGTTTCATACAAAGCAGAGCCCATGCCAAGAGGCAAATACAATCTTGGTAAATTAAAAAAAAAACGTAAAAGAACTGGAATGCCTAACCTATACATACATTTTGCGGGATAGCAGCGTACAAGAAAAACACCCTTTATTGCTCTGCTTTGATATCGCCAAAGTTGGAAGTAAAAAAAAAGTAGGACACCAACACAGGTTCATTGGTAGTTTAACGAAAGTTATCAACCGAGCTTTAAACAAAAGTAAATATAAAAATAAGTACGATAATAATAATTATTTATATTATGTCACATTTTCCTTCCGTCTCTAGTGTATTTTCGGAATTATCTAGATAAGACAGCTCAGGTAGCTAACAATATTCCCCTTTTGCACAAAGTTCTGTGTAAGTGTCGGAAACTTTATTTGCCAAGTTTTTGTAGTAAGACTCGTAGATATGAAGATGTTCACGGTTTGTACGGAAAATCAATACAGCCAGTTTGAATATAATTAGCATGTTTTTGATGGGCCCGGTTTATAAAAGTAAACTAAACTGAAATTAGCGGTGCATGTAATTTCAGCAACAGTGATAATTGCTATCTTGCACAGCAGATGATACATTGTCAGTTCACAAATTGGTGCAAACCAAATGTGACGTTAAAATATGTAAATTTGAGGTTTGGAAAATGAATTGGCCTTTCAATAGATTAAAATTATTATGTTAAAATTTTGTCACCGGTTGTTGAATACAAAATCTCAGTTGTATTTTATATTTTATGGATATTATACTTGAAATAATTTAAGATCAACTGACTTACCTTCTGACGAAGGTTAAGGGGTATCGAAGTTTCCAAACATTACAAACTTGCAGCTGCTTCGTTTCGAATTGATATAAACGTTAGGAGTTATATTCAGCTTCCCTGAGGCACCTTAAAACCCACCACATCCTGTAACAGATCCGTTATTACAGTTGATTTTAACGATGGATTTGTAAGTCTCAGATAAAACTGGAACTGAACTCATATCGAACTTTTTTACAAGATAATTGCTCCTGCAACTGTATTTCAATCTCATCTTTCAGATTACAGAAGCAAACTACTTATAAATGTTTAAAAATATCCATATTATACAGGGTTCTTCGCGGAAAGTGGCCTATTAAACGTTTCAGAGAAACCAAAGAGAAGTTATCAGATATGCTCTTAGACCAAGGCGGATCTGTTTTGAGGTGGATGTGAGAGGGGGCAAGCAAATTTTTTCTGGATTACCTTCAGTACAACTCACGTAATAAAAGTGTAGATCCCTAGATCTGGGCGAGGTCCGGAACATTTTCAAAATTGCAAAAATGTTTAAAAAAAATTTATAAGTACCTATTTTATCCGAGTTTTTTACCTATCTATCTATCTTATCTTGAAACGTATACATTTTAGAATAATATTGAAGAGGAAAAAAGTTTTAGAATTGAATTTTGCACAATATACTGCATGTTAAAAATGTTTAAATTTATTACCGATGTTGCAAAATGGCAATAATTGATGAAAAGAACGCAAAATAATCAAGATTTTTGGATAATTTTTGTAAAATATTTTAATTGATCCGGGGGCATTCTAATTTTGGTAAAAAGAAACTTTAGAGTATAGTAAAACAACACACCAAATTTCATTAAAATCGGTTAGATAGTTTTCGCAAAATAATTTTTTGAAAAAAATTTTGAAAAAATTTTTCCAATCTTCAAAATGTTGCACACCTTCAAATAAAGCATCTAGATAATTGAGAAATTTTTTCACATACAAAAGACCGCTCACCTTTCAAATGGTTTTTGAAAAATTGAAATCGGTTTATTAGGACGGCCTTTTATTTTTAAACAATTAGATTACATTTATCAATTAACAATTTAGTTTTTTTCAAAAATTATAATTTTAAAATACTTTTTTTCTTAATTTTATCTGTATTTAACAAAACAATTAATTTTTCCAAATAAAAAAATTTGTTTAGGTAATTTGTTTTAACAAAAAATATTTAAATAATTGTAATAATTATAACTAAATATTTTCATATTCAGTATTAAAATATATACGTAAACAAATTTTTTCATTGAAAAAATGTAATAGCATAGGGTAAAATATACAGTATATGTAATGCATAAATAATAAACTTTGTTTATAACAAAATATGTGCCAATTAGACAGTACAACAATATTTGTCTTTCAAAGCATTTGATGATATTTTTAATGTAATATTCTCGACAATGGAAGAAAACCGCAAATATCTGACAACGACGATCCTCTTACGTTTACTGGTGTAAATATTTCAGTTGAGGATTTAAGTAGAAATTTTTAATGAAAATGAAGGTCTTCCCCCACTTCCGTCACCCCTGGTTTTTAACTCAACTCTCGAGGTGAAACGTCCGTATAGTTCCACGAACAAGACCACTTATAATTGCCCCGCAGCTAATTGCTTCATTATCGACATTTATAATGCTAAGTTATATCGGTATTACACTGGCTTTGTCCAATTTGCCCCTGCTGGCACCCCTGCCCCGTTTACCCAATTAGCCCTTTATTAGCGTTTGTCGAGCCGGCTATTGTTAAGTGACAAGTAATCTTGTTTGGGGTAATAAATTTTTCTGTGACAGCGCGGACCTAATTCAGCAACAACCTCCGAAAACGCCCGTTTAAAAAATAGCCCGTAATAGGGAATTTCCGGTACACCGTACCCCCGATTTAGATTAATTTTCCACAGAAAAATGAAAATCAGATTAATGTACAAGGTACAAACAGATGGCAATTCTAGATAACTCTGCTATTAGTCTATGTTCATCTAGCGATTACACAAACTCTATTAGACAACAAAAATAAAATATTTTGGAAAATAAACTGTATTTCCAATAGGATGACGTAGCCTTTCACTTTACTGTAAAAAGTGTACGAGTAGATCTAGGAATCTACACTTTTATTATGTGAGTTGTACTGAAAGTAATCCAGAAAAAAATTGCTTGCCCCCTCTCACATCCACCTCAAAACAGGTCTGCCCTGGTCTACTAGAATTTAGGTCATAGTTCACGAACGCCAGTTGTATGATCTAGATGTGTTCGGGAATCTTGACACACATTTTGAAAAGGACTGTTTTTATGTATAGAAAGAACACCATAGTCAGTTTGAACAGTACATTCGATAATTTTGTGTAGCTCTCTTTCCACTTCTAGTGCCAAAAGCCAAATTCATCAGCAATCCATTAAGATGTGCCCCCCCCCCCCTTGAAACTAAGTATACTTTCAAAGTTAGTCTGGGTCGTTATGTTTGGTTGGAACACATCGTAATCTGATTGCCCTAAAGAGACTCATTCAATCGTCAGATCCTGTAGACATTTAACGTAATTAAAAAAGAGGAATCAATATTTTAAGGTAGTGAGAAACATGAATGCAATTAACTCTCTTTTTCTTCGACTGTTTTGCCACCTGTGAAAATATCCTTGCCCCAAAAGGAGTGGAGAATTGTTTTTATTATATTAATTTTGTAAAAAAATCTCGCACTGAGCGCTTTCTTTTATTGAACAATATGAGAGCTTTCGCAATTTTTTTATTTATCGCATTCCTGCTAACTTGTGTATTCAATCTGTTGTAACATTTATAGGTCTCCCTTAAATTTAAACACACGTCATGCATTGGCGTAATTAGGTAACGCTTTAGGGGTAATCAAGCCCTTACAGTGATTAATATTGATTGAGGTACATGGAGAGTATGAATATGGGTAAATCGTTTTCAAATTATGCACATTGAAATTCTGCTTGCAGCTTCTACTCACTGACCACGTACATGATTACCGTTGCCACATACATGGTGCTATAAAAAAAATGGTTTTAATAGAGAAGAAATTAACGTGGCTCAGTTTTAATAACCGCTTGGAAAATAGAAGCAAGCATATTTGTGTTAAACTGTTCAGTAAAAAATTGGTAGAGCCAAAAATAAAAGGGTATATCGCCTCAGGGGTTGCAACTTTTATATAAGGTATTTTTACTTCAATTCTCTTAAATTTGGCTGTACATTCACTGGTACCATTTTTACTACTTCAATTAAAAACACCCTGTATATTTTATGAAACTGTAGAAAATGGCGAATGCGCCAATGTCATTATTTATTTATTTATGGTGTCCTTAATCATTATTGCTACTTCATTTAAAAATGTTCATTCGCTCAACATATTCCAGCTTTATTTGTGTACTTACTTCGTTTCTTCATATTATGGGATTTCATTTTGAATGAACCAGTGGATCAATTTTGATTATTAACACTTATGTGAGCATAGTTTTGAGAAGGCAGCTACATATTTATGAGACAAAGAAAATCGTCTAACGTCTGACTCTGAATTCAGTGTTATCGTGTGGACAAAACAAATACTCTTAATGACATTTCAGTCACCTCAGCCGTATGTATATTTATGGTTTCCCTTTAGGGCTAGGCAAGGCTGCGAGAATGATGCGAATGTAAACTAAACTCTTATACAAACAGAAGTGGAAGGGCAACTAAACGTTAAAATTACGTCTTCGTACACTGGAATTTATTAAAATGTGTGCCTTACCTTGGCATAAAGGATTCTAAGGCAAATAGATATATCCTATTGCGCTGATACCTACAACACTTTTTATTTTTAGTGTGGAACCTCTAAGATGCCACGATCACGAACTGTGAATTCCATGAATTGGAAAATCCACCACTACGAGTCGATCCCAGCTGTAAAGTCGCCAATTTGTTGGCAGCAACCAAGTTCACAGAAATCCAGACCTTGGGCTTGTGCCTGTCGTTGACGGAAATCGTATCCGAACCAACTAAGGAGCTTCCCTATGTCAACGAACATCAAACGATGTTTTTTTCCGACGGAAAAAATAATTTACCAGGGACAGATTTAATAAACGAGTTTGTTCGGTCCTGGCTGGGAATGTCTTAATAGAAATGAGAAATGGGTTAGCGTTACTTAAACGCATTTCAGTGTCATGTATCGAATTTGCTATTTAATATTATACAAAACTAATAATTTATAACATTCACTTTTTAATAGGAATATGTATATGCATAAATATGTTATATAAGCCAATAACAACTAAAATATAAGAATGTATGTGTAACAGAATCAATTTCAATTTCTATAAGGGCCCAAATCTAATATCCGTATATCCATATCAGCTGTCAAACTTGAACCTCCAGTAGCGAACATAATTTTATTTTAGTGGCAACAAATTGTTCCAAAGGCCCAAATAAAAATATCTACTGCATATTTGTGTCAGACATTGGCAAGTGACATTCTTTTGTTGCTCGTTTGTAATTCAATTTCAGCATAAAATCAATCGTCGATAGATTCTCGCAAAATTTCAGCTTTTTCCTTTCAATTGAAAGCACAGACTCGCTCATAGTAGCAGGAAATTGTATTTATTTGGCACCATAGGCTCTTTTATAGAATTGTAGAGATGGAACTAGAGATATTAATAGATGCAATTTATATTACTCTCGCAGCCATCCAGCTGGAAATACTGATTAGCTTATTTAGAAAACAGCATTCTATTGGTATTCCCTGACGTGTCGTTAATATAGTTATTCTGTATTTTATTTTCAGATACTCCAGTTGCAAATGAACGACTACAGATACCATTATATGTTTACTACATTCGTAAGTATCTTTTAATCTTATTTGCACTGTAAATAATAATATACTTGTATAACACCGTTTGGAGATTGATGTTATAATAGTCTCAACGAAAACATATTAGAGGTATTGAACCAACACCAACATCGACTCAGTGATTTCACATAGTGACTTAAAATATAAAAAAAAATACGAAATCGATCTGAATTGAAATACAAGTGATAAGGCAGGCTAACCTCATTTTACAATGCGCCTATATTACAAAAATTTAAAAACAAAATTTTTTCTACAAGTATCGAATACTCATCAACAATTCCTAGTTACGATTTTCGTTAGGCGAATTATTTTCCATACACATAAAACATCGAGGTCGTTAATTAAAACCTAAATGACTATCCTCAGATTACGTCAGTTCGATCCGGTTTCAGGATAAATTAAAGGAGAAAAAACGGCAATATGTGCCAGTTATCATATAAAATTTACGGAATTAGCTTTGTTGACTGCATCAGGGTAATATTTAATTTAAGCTTTTCTCTTTGCTTAAATATGGTTTCTGCATATGCACAAAATCGAGTCGGATTTGTTTTCACAAAATTAATTTAGCAAATTCTACGAGCAAGTTTTATATTCTTTTACTTTTATGGTGCATTAATAATCGGTTTTCTTGAGTTCATTCTGATTAAGAGGCATTAACGGGTTTTCTTTCATCCTATTAAGGGAAGAAAAACTTAAAAGAGAGAAGTGTTTATAATTGCCAGGCTCCAACATTATGAAGGCTGTAACTTGAGAAATAAGCTGTTAAGTAAACGAAATGGCTGAACATGGTACTAAAAAACCATTGATGTAATATGGCGCTACTTTGCATAGCGAGAGTTAATAAAGACATCCATAAAATACGGAAATTTTTAAAATCTCATTTTTTCTGAAGTAAAGACAATTAAATTACAGAGCGCTAATAAATTTCAAAATACTGTTTAAGCTTGATGATTAGTAAAAGTATCAATGTTTACTTTATAACAGAATCTGAAGTAATTAAATTAATAAAAATTGATTAGTCTTTTATACTTGCAGCTATACTAAATGTAAATTAAGTTAAAGAAATAGTCGGCAGTTTCCTTAATTTAATGAAATGAATATTTTACGACTATGAAACTTGGAAGTTCAGAAGTTAAATACAAATGAAAAAGTACATTTATCCGCTTCTGAATTTCCTTTATCCTGATAGGACTACGTCAAGATAACACGTTCTTTTGTCACAATTTAATAAATACATTACTTTTGAAACAATTACTGATTTATTTTATACAAATTTATACCAAAAAATAATTCATCATTTCCTAGATACTGTTAGTGGTAACCCTTTAATACTTATTCTTGTCTGGATAGCATCCCTATTAAAATAAATTGATATAAATACACGTGCCATTAAACTTTGCTTCCAATTTTTCCACCAAACTCCATTATTCTAATATGCTCCTTATAAGCTCATCCATCACAACAGCTTATGTCGGGAAAATATTCCAGGGACCGAGTCAAGTGGTTTGTATACATTGGATCATCATCCACATGTAGGTAGGTACATAGCGGCAATTCCAAAGCTTATCATATAAACTTTAATGTTTGTTTTTAAATATAAAAATTTTACCAAATACTACTAAATACAAAGTAATCGCGGACATATTTTTAAACTTTTAAGGTTTTTACACTAGTATAACTTTTCTGAAAGAGGCCCTCCCTAGAATGTTTACTTTATATCTGCAGTGTCGGCAATGTTTGGCTTGTTTGTGTAGTAAAAGAGGATGAAATAAAAAACAACCTCTCTATACGCAAGTAATTATATTCCTGTTTACTTCGCCTGCTCCAATTTTACTACCAGTGAAATATCAAAGTATTATCCTCAGCAGGACTGAACTCAAAGAGAAAAATTGAAATGAGAATATTAAACGAACGAAATAGAATAGTACTATGGCGGGTAGCGAAACTGCTTCCTATACTCAATGTACAATGTCTTCATTTTTGGTACGTTGTTATTATTACCACCACTATTTCGATATGTATCTGCTTTAAAATACTGTTAAACAGTAAAGCTGCAAAAAAGTGTGGATGTTCTTAATTCCAGAAAAATTTAATGAACTTCCAAGCTTTGCCAAGCATTGAAAGTCACAATAGGTATCTACCTCATAGTTTGGGTTCTACGAAATCATAGCTTCAAAGGGAATACTCATTGTTCTAAGCCATACAAACTTCTATATTCAAATTAATCTCTGCATAATATCCCAGGATTGATTTTCACTTAATTACAGCAATACAATGCATCCGGAGTAGTTGAATCTAAAATGCAAGTAGGAGCAAAGTTAAAGGGATTGACTTTCATGATGTAACCACAGTTCATTGACTATGTTACGGAGAACAATTTGTGGCACGATTTTAGCAGAGATTATTTCAAGAGAAGTAACGAAATCAAATTGTTTTTAAATAAATGACTGAGGATTAAGTCGACAAACAACATAATATAAACACATTTTCAGTGAAGATTTATTTATTTACATTGTTTACAACTTTGATATTCTCAATTAATACAATTCAACTCAACTCAATTAATACCAATTTTCTCCACATAGCGTTAAGAAAAAGAAATAAACAATTATGATAATTTAAATTGAATGTAAGTTGTTTGATCTAGTATAATATTAGGTTTAAGACGAACGAAATCTACGAAATAACGTGAATTATTTACACTTTATTAATTTTACGACTTTAATTAGTTCTCCGCTAAGCAAAATGGTGTTTATTCATATTTCAGTAAATATTAATTATAGCTTTCAGGTTTCCCAATTCGTCAACTCAGTTTAAAGTAAGCAGGTAGCAGCATCCCACGAAAGTTAAATTTGTACGTAATTACTGCAAACGTAATTAAAGTTATTATTTAAAGTGTGTAATCCGAAAAGGTAATTTTCATGATCAAAAGCTGCAAGATTTCGTTGTTGCTGTTACATATCTGAACTTATTTTCTCTAAATAAAAGTATGTTACTGTTACCAAAGGATAATGTCCACTTTGTATGTCGCAGCAGTAAGAGGATGCAGTTTTGTTTGATAAAACAAAGATGGGGTTCAATTTTAAAGATTCATTCTGCCAATTTTAACTACTTATAAAGTCTTATAAAGTTATATGTAAAGGGAATACTTCCGCAAGTAATGTGGCTCCCATCTAAGCCACTTTGCTGATACAATGGGAGCACTTCTGAACGTCATAATGGGAAAATACTGGAATTCTTATTTCTGTTGCAGGATCTCGAAACATTTGACCTGGAAGATTTCAAATACAATTCCGTAAACATAACGGCTTTCAGGATTGTCGACGTTGATCACTACAAAGTAAGAGAGGCCCTAGAAGTTATGGAAAAGTTCCAGCCAATCGGCCACGCCATTTTAAACAGAAGCGGGATTATACAGGTTCGTAATTTCTTGTTCTAACTGAACTAGATCTTCTGGTTTCTGTTTCAACTGTTCTAGTCTTTCTGTTGCTTTCTACCATCTGACTCTTTTGGTAATTATTGATAACTCTTCGAAGAGGAAACATTGCTTTATCAAATGAATTATTATGCTTTACTTGATACAATTGGTTTTGTATAAGAAATATTAAATAGGAACAACACTATTGTCCTCGTTTTCTGCTCTAATACAGTGTGCAATGTATCCTTCTCTACATCTTTCTGCATGTTTGTTTTTTATCTGTTTCCAAGAATTACGGTAAAAATAAGCTCTATTTAATGCAAAAAGAGCGAATTCCCGAGCGACTTTTTCCTAAGACGGTGACAATTTGTTTATAACCTTTTATAATTTTTTTTTCTTTGAAACGTCTCTTTTGATCAATTAGAAAATAGAAGTCTACTCATAATTTTTTCAAGTTTTCTGGTTTTACGATCTAATTCGATTGGAGTAAAACAAATACACCGTACCACATACACAGTTCTTTTAGTTTAATCATAGCGGCAAACCGTTAGTAAACCGCTATTCGCACATAAATTAATGCTGCTTCCACATGAATTTATGGACCAAATACGTTTAATTTCAGGCGGAGCCAGCGCTAATGTTCGACTCCGTGTATGTATTTGCAAAGGGATTATCGGCCATGGACTCCGGTCACTCTATTAAACCAATGAATTTATCTTGTGACATCGAGAAGCCATGGGATGATGGATTATCCTTATACAACTACATTGATGCAGTGGTAAGTTGACAGGCGGCAAAAACGCATTGTTGCCACTATCGGGTCCCATCGGCCATTATTAATAGCTGATGAATATGAAAAATGGTTCCTAATGACGGCTCATTGTAGGCCTTCCATTAATTTGGCATTTATTAGGGGCAAAACGTCCAGTCGTTCAATTGCCGCCATTATTAGACATTCGCTGTAGGTGACAAAAAAATTTGTATACCTGATGACAGCCATCTTGCATAAAGCGCGGTTTTTGGGGTTACATATCATTCCCAGCAGAAGTAAAAAAAGATAAAACGTAAATTGAAACGGATACATACAGTATTTGTTTTAATAATCGATAAAACGCACTCTTAGTCAAAGTTTGGCTTCTAATATTTAGGGCTCATCATTTTAATAAAATTAATAGAATGTTTTATAATAATTATAATTTTCCATGCACATAAACGAATCGCAGGCACTTTGAAAACAAAAAACTGTGATTCAAGTTAAATTTTCCAGCGAAGGTTCCTAATCAATATATTTTCGTACACGATAAGTATAGTATAACTTAAGAAGCGTATTCGAGACGGAAATTTTTACAACGAACAAGGCAAGGCATACAGAAAATCTTAGAATCCTTTTTATCCCTGCCTCATTTACTGTCACGTTCTGAGAAAAAAAAAATAAAAGCAACCCTCTGTTACATTATACTAATATTGCAAGACTACAGGTGCTCTGAAAATCCTGGAGAAATGCCAAAACGGCATTTGCGTTACAGAAATTCATGAAAACTTACCAGAACAAGCTAATTTAAGGTAATTAAAATAAATTACTAAATATACATTGCCACACGGTGAAGAACATTACATTTAAAAAAGGGAAACGTTCGCAAAAAAAATACACAAATAAATAAGTAGCAACATGGGTAAGCGATTTTTAATTACAAATAAATTCTCATTGTGAGATATTTCTGGGTTAAGTGAAATTAAATTTATACAATCAACCATTTGACGAAAAAAGTATTAATATTAGTCAATACAGCTCCGCAGAAATATCCAATTAATTAAAAAAAGTTACAAATATTGTCCAAAAAATTGTTTTTAATTGTATATTAATTATTTCGGAATTATTTATGGAAACCGAGTTGAAAAGAATGTTGTGCTGCATTCATAAAAGGCCTGTAAAAGTTTCATTCGAAAATTGGAACAATGCTTTGGCTAAATAAATACGTATTAAATTTATATACATTTCAAATGGTATGCAAACATATTCGGCCTAGTAATGTATCATTTGTTTGTAATTAAATGAATTATTTATGATTTAACAAAATTATATTAATCATTCCAAGGCTAACCAACGCAAATTCGAGGCAAATAGTAATGTACAGGATTGATTACAGTAATTGCACCAGCAGTATTTATCCCCCGGGTGCACAAAATCGATGTGGGGTTTCGGAACTGTATGCAAATTAGAAATTTATGAGCTTGCACTGCATGAAGGGATGTTTCTCCAGTTTCTCATTGACCATCCGTACCATCGATTTCGGAGATTAATAACAAACAGTCCCCGATTATAAAAAGAGTCAACCATAATTGCTTCTAGAGTTTTTTAAGCGTAACCGATCTAGATGCTGGGTACTCATTGTTTTGAATTTTAGTGGAAAAGAGTGCTTTCGTCGTTAAAGTTTCCTCTGAAAGCAGTTATGAAACTCTCTGAAGTAAATTGTTTGGGATTAATTGGAAACTTTGTATTTCTAAGCAATATTCAAACAATAAATTCGTTGGAAAAGAACTAATAATCAATATCTGTTTTTTAATTTATCTTTTTCAATGCAAAAAATTTATAATAATTACCAAAAAATTAAATTGATATTTGAAAAAAGTATTATTTTAATTTTTTTATAAAAAAAAAAATTTAGAAAATTTTATAAAATGGATTACTAAAATAATTAAATGAGAAGTTAATTAAATCTTGTTAATCTTAATGACATTTGTTGATATTTTATTTTATTTGCTGTACTTATTGGATTCAACATGTATACCTATGGCATAATTGAAAAATAAAAAATTAATGTTGGCAAAACAAATGAATTGTACATGTGCGTACACATATTAAAAACTTTTGCATGGAAAAAAAATGCGGTTATATGCAAAAGTTTTTTTGGAACTTTGGGGCCTTTCTTCCCTTTAGTGCCACGATATTTATACGGCAATATTTTTTTAATTGTTAATTTTTAATGAATTCAAAAAGGGCACAAATGCTGTACAGGAACTTTTCACTAAAATATCCACCCCTTGAGCGGAAAATTCATTTCCTTACCTTATGTGCCATAAAAAATGTACGGAATAATGATTTGAGGTATAGTTTTATATAGCGCTTGCTAAATTTTTTAATTTTAGGGTGCCTCTAATCATTTTCCTTATTCTACGTAAAAGGTAAGGGTTGAGCAAGGGTTAAAAGCCCTTAGAGCCAGTGCATTCGCACGGCATAGTAAAATATAACTTTCAAATAAATATCTTTATTTAAAATCAGGCAGTTTTCTATAATTTTTACACTAGTAAAAATATTTGGAAAATTAACACTTTTTATTCTTTCCAGCACCGTTATTTTTGTACGGCATAAGGTTTTTATGTCTTACTTTTCAAATATCTGTCTTGGGTCGAAATGCCGTCAATTTATATTTACCCGGCCCAAAATTGGAAAGTTTGATTTTCCGCTGACAACCCCTGTGCCAGGAAGAATTGACGGCATAGTGCTCAAATGTTTTCTTATAGGTTGTAGTATTTAAGTCATAGACACTTACGGTGCCTAAAATGATTAGGAAAACGTTCCTATCCGGCTCTTATTGTTAGTCTATTCCTTTCCAAATCTCTGAAAGACGGAGGATTCCGCAGGAATCAAAGAACAAACCGCCCACCGAATGATTTAATTTCGGCATTTCATTTTCAGAGCGGACTGCACGGCCTGACGGGGAACATAGAATTCAACGAAGGCAAAAGGTCCAACTTCAAAGTGGACCTGCTGAAACTGAAGAAGGAGGAGATCCGCAAAGTGGGACAGTGGACTCCAGACGGCGGCATTAACATCACTGACCCCAACGCTTTCTACGAGAATCACGCCCCTAATATAACCCTCGTTGTTATGACAAGAGAGGTAAGTTCTATCCTTAGTCGCGCCATAAAGGTTATTGCCTGAAACTTCTCCAATAACGTAAAGAATAATTGAGGCCGGCCCCCTCCCGAATGGAATATTGAATAATTCAGGGGGAACGGTCCCGAGCAAGTTACAGATATTGATATTCGGCTGAATACGGATTAATGGTAAAAGGAAATGGCGTGCCGGCATGATTTCCTTGGGTAAAAAGCGATTGGATTACCAGAGTTTTATTTGATTACCCCGCACCACGGATATTGATGAGTTTTTTAATCATGTGCATCTGTTATTCCAATGTTGACAAGAGTAATTAAGCGGAGCTTTTTCCCACGTCATTTATCGACGTGTAACCGTTCTAATCCTGATTTAAATGTGAATACCCGATCACTTTCGAGAAAAAAATTGTTAATTTTTAATGATCATTCAAAACTAATCTCTCTTGGGAGAATTTCAACAGCACATGATACTATTTTATGTGGTAAATACCGAATTTTCATACAATTTGTTCCGATCAAGACTTTAGAAACAATTTTGTGAATATTCACGACAAAGTTTCCGTGCATAACCTTCTTACAGGGGGGTGTATTTTAACCCTCAAAGATCACACTTGGGATCACCTTAAAGGTTAAACTAGTGCGAAATGGGATTTTGCCAACTTTGAACCTTTATATATTTATTTGTTAACGAAAACAACGTATTTATATCAAAACTGGGATAAAATTTTCCGAGAAATCAAATGTTTGAAAAAAAAATTAATTTGATAATAAAAAATTCTATTGAAAAGAAAAAATTCGAAAAATGACTAAATTCGTATTTTTTATAAATACTAGAGAAAAAGGATTTTGAGATCAAAGTTTATATTTCTAAGAAAAAAGAGACCCCATATTGATAAAATGATATCGATTTTTTCCTCGAATATAGGCATTTTTTGAAGTTGGATCCTTTTTCTGTAAATTCATGTGTTCTTTTGTATAAAAATATTAATTTCAACAATATTATCCATAAATATTGACAAATACATGTTACAGTTAAACTATTAATGAGAAAAACATTTTAAAAAATTATTAACAATAACAAAATAAACTGAGAAATGCCAACTATAAAAAAAAAAAACGTTGGTGTAAATTCGCACTAGTGTGACCTTTGATCAAGCAGTGAAAGAGATACCAAGACCAAGAAGCATTGTCTCTGAAATTACCAGAATCGTATTACATAAATAAAACGTCACTCATAAAGTTGAATGAACTAAAAATATCTCTAAAATTATTCGATTCACATATATATATATAGGAATATTTATTCAAAGTTCCATTTGAGATTGAGATGCAGTGTAACCATCAAAAGTCCAAAAAAAAATACAAAAACATTTTAAATTTCTTAGCCATGATTTTTTATGCCAAGTTTCAATGAATATATTTTTAAAATGCGATGATTTATAGGGCTGCAGACTTCCTTAGTCTTAGCTAGGAAGCCTTGACTTGCCCTTGTTATTCTCGGGCTAAGTTCTGTAGGGCCGAATCCGCCATTACTATCCCTAACCCACGCTGGGACGTTCATTTCGGTTATTGTTGTTGGTTCTAAGGTCTCTACGGACGGAACCATTGTAGTGCTCTGATCCCCCCTAACATTTCGTTGTTCTTCACTATCGGCATTTTCACTGCTGAATCTAATCAAGATTAACCATCGTTAAAGTGACCAGTTTAATTTTACAATACTATATAAAATTTAAATTTACCAACGGTTTATGTCGCGAAAATGTTGTTTCTATTTTAATTTAAATGTTATTATTATCCGCATTTATTTTATTTGCTTTATATTAATTTCGTAATCTATTTTCTAGTATGTTATTTGAAACGTATTCAGCGCTTTTGAAATATAAAGTAAATAATATTATTTTATTACGTTATTGTTGAGTTATTTCCTTATTACGCCATCAAAACGAATGTGAAGTTTATAATATCGCTGTTCTTTCATCTCTGGCAAAAATATGTTTTAAAACTCAGAGTATAAAAAAGGAACACATTCAGTATACCTATTAGTTTTATAAAGAAAGCATTTGTAACATTTTATCAACCCATTTACCCGTAAAAACCCCCATGAATCAACTATCGAAAGCGTGACTCAACAGAATAAGTAAAATATACTGCAAGTTATTGAAGCTGATAAAAATAAATCGGCATGTAACACTGATGGAGATTTACGGCCAGGAGAAGCAGCACTATCACAATTCTTACTTTTACGGTAAAAAATTCATCTACGAGTATATATTCGCATTCCAGAACATCTGTACTCTCCAGAATTATTCGTGTATTCGTATTACACTTCTTGTAAATGAAGTTCTCAACTTTAACAACGTATCTGAAAAGTCAGAAATAAAACCAATCAAGTCCCCTGATATCACATGTTTATTTTGGTCCAATATCGAGTTTTTATTGACAAATTTGTGAATTTCTAGTTTAATTTTTGTTCACTCTTGTAACAATAAACTTATAGTGATCCGCAGATGTAAATCATTCCTAACAAAAAACATTAAGGTGAAATAAAAATGGTAAAGAGAAAAGCGGAGAGTTACAACAAATGTTGCAAATAAATTGGCCATAAAATGATCGAAAGTTTCGATATAAAATGGTTTATATTTGCCATAACCGTAAATAGAACTTAAAGTTTAATGATGAAAAATGGGGCTACATGTTTAGTATCACGAGGTAAGCAGCTGGTATTCAGCAGCTTGGATATTTTCAGAACTTGCAGCTTGATCAAACAAACGTAGGATATTTATTTTTGAAATGGTTATTAATAGCTAAAAAATTCAAAAAATAGCTTACAATTTAACTTAAAAATCCATATTTTATGACATGGTATTCAGATGATCAAAAACTAAAGCATTTGGCAACTTTAAAAACTGTGTTAAATTTTGTTATTGCTATTTTTTTGGAAAATATATGGCTAGTATTTTTTAAAATTATGTTTGCGAATGGCAAATAACTACTCTCATGTTAACCTTATCAACGTGTGTTGAATACATTACCCAAAAACCATAAAAATATCCTACAATACCTGCCTCTCCATAAACAGGATTTTATCAGCTTTTATGATACTGACCATCCGTTTATTTGGACCTAAAGCAACCTCCCACGTACATTATCTTTTATGAAATGAACGGATAGAACATATAAATAATACATTTCAAAGGGTCATATCCTTATTGCGGCATAAATATCCCCAGTTTAGAGCGTTGGGTAAAACTTAATTGCACTGCTTTTATTGCACATCGTATACATTTTTATTCAACTTTTATGGTCGGTCTTTTCTGCGGATAAACTCGCTTTGCCTTTTCATATAAATAAAATAGACTTTATGTAATTGTCATCTGCAGAAGACTGGAATCAAGTGGGTACCACAATCAGAGGTAAACCTGGTATGGATCTGGTCACTTTGGTGGCCATGATATTGGTTCAGTACAGCCTATTCACCTGTTTGGAAGTACATTATTTCTAGATAACATTATAAAATAAATTTTAAATTATTTTTTTTTAGTACCTACGAAAATTTCCATTAAAAAGTTTAACGTAACTTGCTTAATATGCTTTTCAGTTATTATAAAAACTACAATTGCAGTTTTCAGCAAGGATAAAGTGTATAGAGCAAACTTTTCCATATCCTAATTACAAATTACATATCCAACAATACCATTCATTTCAGTGTAAGCTTCAAGTTTTCGCGATGGAAATGAAGAAACCCGGTTTAATTTTCATCATTATTTACATTTGACGTAAAACTTTTTTATCTGGTTTTCAGGCAAAGGGACCATATTAAACCTAATTTAGAGGACAGCACAGAACAAGTTTTTAAATTAGTACAGACAAAAAAGCCGTGAAACGGGCAATTAATTAAGTCTGAGCCCCGGAGACTTCGCAGGTGCTTAATAGTATGACGGGAACAGCAGAACACGCTGCATAATAAACTATAGTTGGAGGTCTGAATGAAATATGGCGGCTAACGGTAGTATATGATGTGAAAATGCAGTGAATATTTGTTACGTTTGTCTGAAGGTATGTCGTTCAAACAGTCCTGATCTCGGTGTCGCAGATAAATGTTCGCACAAGAGTGTCATCTCTATATAAAAGTTTTATTAAGTACTGTTACGATTTCAGTTAACACAATCATTTTTTGCACTTGTTGCATAAATATTATAAATATTAATTGTGCTCGTCACAAATTCTACTTTACTATTCGAGCACAATTACAAACAGACTGTAGATTTCCCGGTTAACACCATTCATATTGTTATTGTTTCTCGTAGTGCTTAGATCCAAACTAAAACAATTGTGAATTGAATTCTCAAACGTAAAATAACGTTGAATTAATTCTAGTTTCAAACTTGCACCAAGTGGTTAGGAAGTAATTCAATAGTTGTATGGAAACTTGTACAACTATCAATAAGGAACAATGAATTTTGCCCAAGTTTTAATATTACAACTGTCAGTAAGATGTATTTTCCTGAAACCTATCCTAATTGCTTAGATAAACAAAAAGCAAAAGTAAGAATAACTTACCCCTTAAATTCTGCTAAACACGTACAAATTGAAATCTGCGATGGAGATTTTCTTTGGTGGAAGTGCTCAGAGCTGTGGAATATAAAATTATTGAATACTTGAAAAAGAAAGTGTCCTTAATTTTTAATACAGCTATAAAATCGAATAAATTAGATTAAATTGGCAATTAAGATATTATTACTCCAGGTGCGTAATAATGCGTTGGCTAAATATGCAGCGTAATTAAATGAGGGTGGCGTGAAATATTCCTAAAACAAAAACGAGAAGGGTCGGCGGACGATGTTGTCGGCAATTAATCAGAGAGTTAGGGTAATGTCAACTTTTATATTTGCATGAGAGGATTACTTTTTTACTAAGTTTCGGGAAATCAATTACATCACGTGGAGAGGAGAGAATTGTCCCTTTTTTTAATTACACCAACCGCAATCAGCGCACTGCTTTAAAATGTACCAGATAGAGTTAAATTATTTTTTTTTTCATGGCCATTAACGAAAACGGGCGATTCGAGTGGGATGTTATTTTTGTCCTTGTCTTGTACTATGAGGTTTTGATGAAGTTTGCTTGTCTTTTGTGAACGAACAAAATTCATCAGATCATCTTGATCTCGTCGATCAAGTGCATGAGGACCTTGTGAACCCTTGGAAAGCAATGCAATTGGGATGTTGAAACTTAAAGTTAAGGTCAAATTCAAGGTGACCATCATATTGACTTCTTGATATGCTACACTTCTATCTGAAACTTTTTTGATAGGACTCACTTTCTGTGTACAGTTAATCTTGGCATGTTGAAATGGTGAAAGTTCACTTGTAAATCACGTTGGGGCTTGGAGGACTAACTGACTAAGAAGTTAATAAATATCAGCCAAGTAATTTATACGCTCGATTCTATTCAGGCAAAAATAGTGTCATAAATCAGATTGTATGAGAACCTAATTATTGCCGACTTTATGAAATAACACTGATAAATTGTGTTCCAAGTCTTATTTTAAAGATGACTCTTTTTTACTCGTAAGTTATCAAGTTATTCTAATTCACTTCAGTATCATCTACACTAAGCAACCTTTCCCATTTTTTATTAATCGAAAATAAAAATTCTGATGACCTCTGATCACACTGACACAAACTCAATTATAAAAGGGTTCAATTTCTTTCTTGTTTTTGAAATACGGCCTAAAATACTTTGAGTTATAACTTAAAAGTGCGTAAGACGTATTGAACTGTAATTTATATTCCGACGCACTCCAGCATCGCTTTCATTCGGCCTTCCCTTTTAACCTTGTCCTTTTAAAATAATTGGAAAAAGCTTTCCAGCGTTCCATAATTAACTGGAAATTAACTTAATCCCTTTAATCGAATTCTTTTCACAATCGAAACTATTATAAGGGCAAGGGCCTATTGTTTCGAGTTCAACCAACGAATTTTGAGACCTCGGGCCTAATAAATGGCCTTTCCTTAGCGAACATTCGATGAATTATACGAGTTACCTAATTTTAAGTAACTGCTCAAAATTGCAATTGTAACTAACTTGCGTTGGTGATTTTTATTAACGCCATCTGTTGATAAGAAACGTTGTTTAGTATTTTCCCTCGAGGTTCCCCAAATTCGGCGCTTGTGCTTACAGTCAAGTTTCCAAAGAAGGCCCTTTTGTGTCTTCCCCCAGTTTCAATTATAAAACAACAGAAATCCCCTTTGATAAATTGTTATTCTATTTCATTTTACACCTCTTAACTCCCAAACAAAAATGCTTTAAGGAGAGATTGGGAACGTGGAAACAATCTCATAGTAAATATCCAAAGGTAATCTTTCTGCAAGCGTTGAATCCTGTATCATAAATTTCCCTCCTTATTTTATCCGCCGTAATTGAAAACGTTTCGTGTAAGCGCAGCTTCTTTGAGCTTCCCAGTTGCCACTGTACTTGACCTACACTTCTGGGGGATCGACTTCTTTGCGCTGTCGCTACGTATACCGGAGCTGAAAGTGTTAACTATGGGCTAGGTTTGCTTTGCAAAAGTCCAAAGGATAATCGACGATTTTCCAATATGCCTATTTTTCTAGACTACATTTTTCGATAGCTATCTTCCTTTTATTAGGAGATCATCGACAGTTTCTACACATATCAGCGACCCTCTATGTAATTAATATTTCATCTAACCAGTAAACAAAATTTTGCACGTCATATTTAATTATAATATTGTTATGTCACTGAAAGAATAAAAAATCCCGATTAAATTTGTAATTGATGTATGTTTCACAGTAACACAATGATAAAATAATATTTTGTATTAAAATACATGCGTATACCATTGAATTAAATTAATTGTCATTTGACAAAATATTATTGAAAGCTTCATAATAACTATCCAACTTGAAATTTAGAGTATTCTGAAAACTGAAATTTTGGGAAAAGTGTTTAAAACTCGATTTATTTTAATGCTACAATTTTTTATGTACGGACGTCCTTTAGACAATAGATTGCTGGATTAAGATTATTCATGTTTAGTCCTGCTCTATTGCTCTTTTTAAGGGACAGACTTAATTCTTCACATTCAACAGAAAATTTATTTAAAAAATTAATCAACATCTTTAGTTTATAATAGACACCATATGATCCTAAGTAAAATCATTCTCTTCATCTTCATCGGTAATACAAAATATTGCTTAAAATAATTAAGAGAAATTGACTGCGACACATTTTAATAAAATCGAAAGGAGATTAAATTTTGCCTGTGTCAAATTTTACAAAACTTTCTCCCAGAAAACAATAAACATCTCATAAAAAATTATATGTTCTGTTGTTAGCTCTGACACCCAGTATAGCATAAAATGTAAAAAAATAGATACTCTGTGGAAAAAATTTTGGTTTAAACTTCAACCGATCACCCTGTAAATTAAACGACTCACAAATCTGTACAGATGGACAAAAATTAATGTACTAGGTCCGGGTTACCCACCAATAAAACCCTGGTCCTTATGAACGAACCGTATTAGTCCTGTCCTGGCACCGTAACCTTAAAAACAAAGTGCCGAATTTATGGCAGTTCCACAGTTTTAATCAAGCTATATAAATGAGAAGGCGAACATTTGTAAGACCATGGACAGCGGTCCTAATAACGTGCGTAACCGAAGTCATTTATTAGCACTTCTTTCATTTGAGAGGGGGGGTAAAAGCCCATATACTAAATCGATTGCTTTAATTGCAGGAGCGTCCGTACGTAATGGTGAAAGATGAAAAGAATTTAACGGGGAATTCCAGATATGAAGGTTTCTGTATAGACCTATTAAAGTGGATAGCTGCACAGGTCGGTTTCCAATATACAATACGACTTGTTCCGGATCATATGTATGGCGTTTACAACCCCGAGACTAAGGAGTGGAATGGCATCGTTCGGGAGCTAAAGGAGAAGGTAAGTAATTGTGTAAAAAGAACATACAATATAAAGAAGGAGTGCCTCACCATCACATATAAAGAAATTAAAATATCTGCTAACACACTTGAATTAGTTTCAATTTACATATTCTTGCACCAGAGTATTTCTGTACACCAATATCAAATATTACTAAAGACTAATACACTGTTAAAACTACATATGATTCCAAAATTACACTGATCCCTCTGTATATTTACAAAATTTAATGAACTGAAACTTTGGCATATTAGACTACAAGTCCATCGGAAATTTTCAAGGGGTCATTTGACCCAGCATGAATTACTTATAACACACATAACAATAACTTTAGAAACTATGTTTTGGATATACTGTATGTAATAGATTTTATTTCCGTTCATTTATTCATTCATTTGTACACACCAGAACTACTAACAGCGTATTCAAATCCTTGAGAAAAATGTACCAATCGAGTCTCGGTCAAGGACAATAACAGAAAGGACTAGGAGCGGTTATTCCTTGCCGTTCCTTTTCCCAAATGACTAACGTTTTCCCCCCAACGGTCATCAGACCACAGTTGACTGCCTTAACAATATCAACACTGACAGGTAGAAAATCACCATAACACCAGTATGGAAACAGTTTGAATTTGTCGAGCAGGTTAAGGAATAAATCACGAAAGACGTATTATTTTCCTAAAACGAATAGGTACTGGTTTATATACAGTGTCCTCGGATAAGATACCCCACTCTTGCAAACCTTTTTTAGTTATTCTTGATAAAAGTTTTGTTTATATTGGGAAGCCATGGGCAGTAATCAAACATGTAATAAAACATACAGGACGTGCAAAAAATTTCAAAACGTGAAATTTTCCCCAAATTTTCAACACACTTTTTAATTTTAAAAAGCCCTTACTTTTCCTTCGCCGATGGAAACTAAATATTTTCGTCTATCAACGGCATTACCAGACTGTTAGTTTTAGTTAAAATCCCGAACAGCGTTTAAACCCCAAGTTTTTCCAACAATAAGTTAAGAGAGTAAATAAGCCCCAAGTGTTTGCATTGCTGGAAGTTGAAATTTCTGTTTTTGTCTTACAGAGAGCGGATCTGGCTGTGGCTTCCATGACCATAAATTATGCCCGGGAAAGTGTAATAGACTTCACGAAGCCATTCATGAACCTCGGCATAGGGATCTTGTTTAAGGTAAGAATATTAGTGTATTTAAATCAGAGTACAACAGTTACATAAAAAGTTCATTTTATCCGCAGGAATTTTCAAGAGATTTTATTGACCTTTAGACAAATAAATTAATCAAATACCTTTGGGATATAAACTGTCTTTATTTTTAAGAACCCATTATATAAATGAATATGGCCAGTCTCAGTTTTTGACCAGCATTATATTCTCCACCAAGATTTTTTAAATATATTTACTAGTTTTTACAGGATGCTCATTTTTCTTCAACGGTATCTAATCAGTTTTTCCTATTTCTGGAAATGAAAATCAGTCTTAAAGACAAACAGTATTATTATTTTGAGTTGACAAAGCTTATTAATATCATTTAAAAATATATAATATGTATCCTAACTGAAGCGAGAAGAGTTACACGACATGTTATAGAAAATTATATGATCACCAATAACCATGTACATACATTATTTAACTACATATATGTGAAACTTATTTCTAATTAGATAGTACATTTGGAGCAGTCGCGCGACAAAATGTCGCTTCGTGTAAAACAGGCCTAATATTCAAACAACTTGATCGTATGCTTTGATAGGTTGGTCCATTTGATACTGAGGTATATGAGGCATGGTAAAATTTCCATTTTTGTCTAAACCACACTGTAAGCAAATAGTTCGAAATGATGTATTATTTATGTGATTTTACAGATTAATCTTGTAGACTAGACTATAAATTATTTATTACAAGTTCGGGTGTAACAAAAATATCCAAAGAAATAAAAAAGGTAATAGAAAATGCAACAAATAAATAATTACAAAAAAGAAATTAACTCTATAGAAATGCTATACCTAATATCTAAACAAGATTTATAAATGACAAAAACTTAATCCGCAATAGCATGTTCCAAAAACACGTACAAGTAATACATGCCGATTTATTACGAAGAATGAACATTACAAATGCAAAACCGTTTTCAATTGATATTAATGGGTATTGCTACGATAATTGTTTTCTGTCGTAGTTTAAAATATGGGCACATATCCGTTCTATTTTGCCGCAATAGCATACTTTAAATTAACGCACATTTGTAAAAATATAGCAATTTATGATCTATTTATTTATGTTTAGTGATAATATTTTCTTTCCTTTAAAAATCGATACTGTAAGAAGTAAACCGGGTACAACTCTACGAACATTACAGCTAGATATTGCAAGCAATCTAATTATTCTTTATGCTCCATCATCGTGCATATTTCCAGTCGGATCTAACAATTTTTGATCAGTGCTTTATTCATGACAACTTTATTACCCATACTCTCGACAGCCGGGAAAAAACTGATATCGAATTCAAAGCTCGTGGATAACTGCAAAGTTTTACGATTTCCAGTTTAATTTGTTTATTTCCTTACGACGGGATGTTTTCTGGGAATACATGTCAATTTCAGAGCGACCCATCAATTACTTCCCTGTGACGAGATTGTGATGTAGTGTCTTGTATTGTCGTTAAACGTCATATTCCTCGCTTAAAAAAAGAAAGGTTTTTATAAAATTTTAATTTTTTTCACGAAGGCAAAAATGCGAATGTAATTCAAATAGTCAATTGAGGGTATACTTAAAAAAAAGACTAGAAGTAAACTTCGGGGATCTACGCCACAAATCGCAATGAATAATTTAGCAGCATCTCATGTGCAATCACACAATTCCCACCAGGTCAAATATACGAAGATTTGCCAAGGGATTTGCTAATAAAAACGGGAAAATTGGCTTAAAAGGTTTTATGGCCAAATAAATTTGCCACATAAATAAAAAACACACAACGTGTCCGGAAATTCCGTTCATATATTTAGCAGAGGTGATTCTACACGTGAAAAATGTTTATATGACATTTACTTTAGCTCAGAAGTAAAATTACTTATTATTATTATTAAATTCAATGTTTGGTATTACCTAGATGTACTTCTATTAATTTTTTAATGAAAAAATAGGCTCGAAGTGCTATTTTCACTAAATATAGGAAAAGATACATACTTTAATTTTAAAAACATATCTTTGGTCCCTTATAAACTCTATTTGCGCCAAGGGGGGAACAGCACACATGAAATATCTCTTAATAAATACGTACGTAAAAAAGTACAGCGAATAGCACGGGCTTTCCCCTGAATGATATAATTTCTAGCCCAGAGGACCGGACCGCCTGCGAAGATTTTGTTCACGTCATCTCTGATTAATACGCCTGCACTGGACAAATTTATGGATAGTGATTTTTTAATCCCAAAACGCTAATCCCCGTGAAATATATGATCATCCCGTCCTCTTTTGGGTAATTCCATTTCATACACGTGTACAACGCCCCCTACAGATTCCCAAAAAAAAATAAGTTTGTCTCCCATACACTTAATTTTGGATTAATTGTTACAGTGAAAAATTTCATTTAAATGCGGGGTACAGGTGGCAACCAAAAAAAAATAAAAGTATCTAAAGATATCTCCTACAATTCTTCAAAGATTAGTCTTAAAATACAGTTATAACTAACTACTTATGAACCATATATTCCAAGATATAGATTTCAAAGTGGTTTTTCCTCTATAAACCGTGAATTCTACAAAAAAAAAAAAAAACGCTGTCCGCTTCTTTTGTGTTTCAACGTTTGTCATTGCCCGCGATCGTAATAACACTTTTTCTATTCAACTATCTTTCGGAGAAGAAAAATAAAAGTAAATTAATCGGCAAAGTTCAACTGCATTCGTCTGCGATATGGTTCATTAGAAACAGACTTTGAAATCTTTGTAATAGTGCACCAGGGAATCTAGGCAAAGGGCAATATGTCATGAAGTCACGCTTCTCGACTTTTATTTTGTTTCACAGAATGTGAGAATAGCAGAGATCGTCATATTAAAATTGTTCTGTTAACAATAAAAACACAACTGTATTGTTATCTTTATTTCCAGATCGGTTCCTTAGCGAAAAAAAAAAAAAATAGAAACTCGAAAAAATTCTTATCCGCGATATTATTGTAAAATTGCCTAAAGAGACATAATACAAGACATCTCTCATCTCGTGAGTCAAAAAAATTTAATAACTAACTTTTCTATGTGAACAAGTGAGGAGAACAGTTTTTTCACTTTGCAGGGAAAAGCATCAATATTAGCGAAAGGTAAAATTGGTTAATAAACAGAAAAGTTATTGCAAAAAAACAAGAAAAGTGCCCATTTTTTAATTTGTTTGTAACTATCGCATTTATTGCTAAAATAAAACCTATGACAAGTTGAGGAATAAATGCGATAATTATAAACAAATTAAAAAATGGGCACTTTTCTTGTTTTTTTGCAATAACTTTTCTGTTTATTAACCGATTTTAATTTAACAAGTCTCATTTTGTAGATAATTGTATTCCCTACAAGTTGTCTGCGTGTCACTTTTCGCTAAAATTGATGGTTTTCCCTGCAAAGTGAAAAACCTGTTTTCCTCACTTATTTGTTTAAATAGAAAAGTGAGCTATTAAAATTTTTTGACTCACGAGATGAGAGATGTCTTGTATTATGTTCCTTTAGACAATTTTACAATAATCTCGCGGATAGGAATTTTTTCGAGTAAAAATTTTACTTGCCAGGTGTATCTGCCAAACTTTTGTTAAATTCGAGAGGTACTGGTTATATGTATAAATTATACATGGTGTTTCAAGAGACATGTGCCATCCCTTGTGGAAAAACTCCTGTCATGGTTAAATTTTCCCAAAAAATTATGGCATTTTTGAAATACATTTTTTTTTAAATTTTTAACTGTTTCAAGTGCAATTGAATAAAAATGAGCACCCCGTACAGAAAAAGCAAAAACTTAGATGGAATTATACTGCATGCTGAGATTCACATCCGTAACACGTAGTTGTAGCTGAATATCAGGACAGCAGATATTCTTTTATTGACCCAGAATACCGTCATCTGACCAATTCTAGGTCCCCACTAGCCAGCCCACGCGCCTATTCAGTTTTATGAACCCGTTAGCCGTGGAAATTTGGCTGTACGTCTTAGCGGCGTACATGCTGGTGTCGTTCACATTGTTCGTAATGGCTAGATTTTCCCCATACGAATGGAACAACCCGCATCCCTGTCACCAGGAGTCCGACATAGTCGAGAACCAGTTCTCCGTCTCCAACAGCTTCTGGTTTATAACAGGGACGTTTTTACGCCAAGGATCCGGACTGAATCCAAAGGTTTGAGGCACGAAATTATTCTGTGACTGAACAAGACGCCTTGCGGTTGGAAAACTAGTAATGCGCTATAAATATGCAGTGTACGGGAAAAATTCGGTGTTGTGTCAACTTGAACGTAAATTAAGTTTCCTGACGATCTCTGGATAAATCTGCTAGGAAATGCAGTGTGAGCGAGTTTTATTGCGACATGTATGCGTTTCCTGAAATTATCTGAAAAGAACAACATTGGCATTTTGAGCTCTATCTAGTGTATACAGGGTGGTTTATAATTTATGTTGCAAAGCATCCTATTATAAGAAAACCGAATATTAGTAAATTTTGGTGATCATTTGATCACCTGGTGTAGTGTTACGACGCGTGTGTACGGAATTGTGCCAGTTGTTCAGTAGGCACGCTTAGATTCATTTGTAGCGTAATAATATACCACAGTGTCTTAACTACTTAAATATAATGTTATAAATACATTGGTGGAAAAAATTAAAAGAACAAAAAATTTGTATGAATTTTTAGTGATTTTCGAAAGGCCGTATCTCAGTGAAAAATGGACATAACGAGATAAACAAAAAAGCATTTTGAAGCTTTAAGTCTCTAGTTTCAAGATCTTTAGACAAAAAATTTTTTTAGCTACTGTTATCGAGCAATCAAAGGAAATACTTGAATGGACTCAGGAAAATTTTTCAAACTCAGTCAATACCGAGGTCAATAAGCTTATTTATTAAGCTTCAATTTGATTTTTGAAAGATTATTGGTTGCCGAAATATTGTTGGTTGAATGAAATATAACACTTTTGTCTTTAATCATCTCTACAATAAATTATTACAGACCAAATCTAAGACCAGTTTTGAAAACCTAAATAAATTCTCTACAAGGACCTGTAACGGTTTTCGAAGAAAAAAATTTGTTTTCATCCTTGAGATCAATTTGAAAAAAGTTCTAAATAAAAACAAATTGGCAAATTTTTTCTCGAGGTATTTTAATTGCTCGATAACCGTAGCTCAAAAAATTTTGTCTAAAAATCTTGAAACTAGAGATTTAAAGCTTCAAAATGCTTTTTTATTTATCGTGAAACGATCATTTTTCACTGAGATACAGCCTTTTGAAAATTAGTAAAAAATTAATGAAAATTGTTTGTTCCTTTAATTTTTCCTGTGGTGTATACAGGCTGTTACAAATTCGCTTCTCACTACAGGGATCTCGGAAATGGTAAGAGATACGAAGTAGCTTAAATGGGGGCAAAAAAAAAATTAAGGCTAACATGATTACTTTACGAAATATTTGAAAAAAATCGAAATTTTGGAAATCCGCTTTTGTTTAATTTCAGTCTTGTTTGAGGTGATATTGAAAAAAGAATAACACTTTCTCATCGCCACCCTCTATCGAATGGCATAATCAATTTTGATATGTAACGTTTCGTCTTTCTAGGACCATCATCAACTTCATTTTTTTAAATACGACCATGGAAATTTTATTACATTTTTTGCAAGCCTTCATGACCCCCCAATACTGTACTGCCTCAGCCCGAACCAAATTTAGACGTTTTGTCTCGAAAAATTCATCTTCAGTGTATTCGTTCCAAATTTATCTAAATTTTTTTATTTAGATTTCTTTGTTTATTGAATTATCGTTCTCAAGAAGTGACCATTGCTCTCGAAATGATTCAAAGATTCCACCCAAAAATTCACGTAGACGCGAGAACTTTGTCATTCTAATCATTGTAGTCTCGTAGAGTATTATTTATTAGGATTTCTTCTTTTTTTTTTTCTAATATATGCATATTACTGTGGCGAATATTACATCACAATCAAATTATGGCCTGTTTTTCCGGTAATGCCGTTATGAACTAATTGTAAGAGTGTTCGCTACTACGGTTTCCTCCTTTGCAAAGAAGCACACATTTGTAGTAAAGATTTACCGCCTTGATTAAAATAGCCCGCTGAAATATTACCGTTTTCATTGGAGCAAAGTTATTTAAGCTATTCAGTTTAATTATTCTAATGTAGGCATGTATTATAATCTTCCTTGCAAATGCAGACTGTAATGTGATTCCGAGGTCCTTTGTCTAGACAATCTCTCACACAATTCGCGTTTTACATTCACCTAAATATTGCTTAAACCGTTTAAAGCCGCCATCCAACCTCCTCAAGTTGTATTCATCTGCAACGGTCATAATACGACCCAATTTATTACGCGAATAAAGACACAAAGTTCCCGGTGCAAGTAAATTCGAAAGTCTTTCACTGGGCGTACTAAATTTAGGAACATAAATTACTTCGATTGGTTCTTTAATTTCTTCCGTCTAATAGCGGTTTTACACAATTAAAGAAATTCATGAATTAATTAAGGTCACAGGCACTGTCCAACGTTTTTATTGTAATAGGCGACTTACTTGAAAATTTAACATATTTTAGAACTGCATAAATTTGTACTCGTATTGTGACGTCATTTAGTGCGACCGAGCGACACAACCTGCTTCTCGGCCGACTGCCGTTTGGTCTACAACCGGCTCATTCTGTGATACTTAATTTACAACTTGTTTTTATAATTTTCATAAGTATTTAACCCGCTAACTATATGGTGAAAAAATCAGATCGATAGGATTAATATTAATCGTGATAAACAATGTCTAATTCGTAAAAGTTTTATAGCCTCTATGACGTCACACTACCCGACTAGCTCGGTACTCAATTAACCAATATTTCAAGTTCTTTATATACAAGGTGTCCCAAAAGTGACGCTCGTATTTCTAGGATTTGATTGAGGAGACAAAAACGAATTGAAAATCAAGAGTGCAACATTTACTGATTGATTTTCTTCGTCGAGTTATTCAAAAAATTAATAAAAAAAATTGAACCCTCTGTAGTATCTCTTGGTTTATTAACGCGACAGCAGCGTGTGTTCACATACATTTTCTGGATTTACAACAGGTTCGTTGTGAATCTCTTCTTTTAAATAACCCCAAATGAAACTTCTAGGAGATTCAGATCTGGTGATCTAGGAGGCCATGCTATGAGTGCACCACTTCCAATCCACCTGTCTGAAAAGTTTTTATTCAGATAATTTTATACTCGTAAACCATAATGTCACGGAGCTCCATCATGTTGAGACCGATAATTTAGTGTAACTGCTAACGGAATGTCATCCAATAATGGCAATGGTAATTTTCAATTGAAAACATACAGCTGCAGTAAATACAGCTCTGAACTGCATAATTATTTAATAACCCAGCCCAAATGTTTATATTTATTTTTTTGAATAACTCAACAAAGAAAAACAATCGCAAAATTTTGCACTCTTGATTTTCGATTTGTTTTTGACCCCTTAATCAAAACCCAGAAGGACGGGCGTCACTTTTGAGACACCCTGTATAGTATAGTTTCAGTTTTTTATCTACATTTTGCTGTGTGAAAAAAAAAGAAATATTAATCAACAACTTTCCCAAATAAGTTTTCAATACTTTCTTATTTACCTAATCCTACATTTATCTGCATTCTCTGTACTTTTTTAGGTAAATGAATTCAAAAGAAGGTAACAATAAAAAAGATTTTTATTAATAACTCTGATGTTCTTTAAAATATTAAGTTGAAATGTTGAAAACGTTTTTATGCCAACACAACTTTTGTGCATTTTTGGTAAAAAAAAGGAAGCACAAACTGAGATAAATGATATTATCCCCCCCCCCTTCTCCCCCTTAATACAATAATAAATAGGTATGTATTAATGAAAAATGCGGCGAGACGTGCTTTTAAATCTTGAAAGGAGCATCTCACATAAAAATTTTTCATAAAACTGAAAATGACATTATGGAAGAGAGTCCGATATCTGTAAAATTTATTGTCATATGCATTTCGATCTCTACAAAATCAAACAGTTCACAAGTGGGTGAGCTGTTAAAAAGTCATACAGTGACGATATCTCAGAGAGGTAAGCACTCTCGGATGCGATGAAAGTTATTAATGCCACCTATATAAAATTTGAATTACGAAAAGTTCCATTTTACATCGATAATTTATTAATACAGAGGGTTAATTGTGGTAACATTGTTAGTAACTTGTTAATAGTTATTTGTTTAAGTAGGCAGTAAAGTATAAGATTTAATGCCGCAGCTGGTATTTAATAGACGAGGCGCAGCCGAGTCTATTAAAGCAGCCAAGACATTAAATATACTTTTCTGCCAACTTCAGCTACACTATTAATAAATTCAGAAGCTAATATTACAACTTTAAAAATGTTTCACTATAAATGTTTACAATAAATAAAATTACTTTGGTTAAAGAATAAATTTTAATTTTTAATTTAGCAATCAAAATTATTCTAATGCCTAGGCAGTAAATGTGACACTTTAGTGCCTAATAGCTGTCACTAAACTACGCATTTAATGTCGATTGGCGAAAAAACCTGTAAATGTTACTTATACCTTTTCTGTTTTATCGAATAAAAGAACGCACATCAGTGCCCCTCCCCAGAAATTAAACTTCCGAAATTGTGCAAGGTTTCAGAGCGCCCCCCAGCCAGACTGTTCGCTTTCCTGACTCCCCTGGCCATCGAGATATGGATTTACATGGCGGGCGCCTACATTCTGGTATCGATAGCGATGTGGATAGCGGCCCGCTTTTCGCCGCGAGAGTGGAAAGAGATGGAGCTGTGCGACGACTGCCTGTACAAAAAATACAGCGGGCTGTACGGCGGCGAGTGCGATCATCTATCCTGCGACGAGACGTCAGGAATCGGCAGCGAGGCGGGGGACGATTCTCCGGGACAACTGAATCTAGCCGACACCGACGCCGACGTCGAGGAAATCGAGTTTGCCAACGACGCATGTAGCGAACGCGAAATCGAATATGAGCGCGAACAATTGGGAGAGAACGGCTCGGATGTGCTGGAAAATGGTTTTACGATCGGCAACAGTTTCTGGTTCGCTATAGGGTCGCTCATGCAACAAGGATCCGAGCTCAATCCCAAGGTACAATATTTGTTTCTTAACGGCGCGTAGCATTTTATTATCGCTAGTTGATTTGGCGCGAGTAGCTTAGAAACAAGTATTGGCCCTTTCCATCGCATAGTTGATTCGTTTCTCTCGCGTCTTTTTGGCGTCCAGTGCCATTTCTTGAAACTCCTACTGCTTGGGCTAAGACTTTAAGCTCAAGACATATATTAGACAGCCACATAAAAAAAAATCCTGACCCAGAAACTAAAACCACCATTCTTTATGTATTTTGGTCTCCTGAATTGAATATCGTAAGCATAGACCACCTAGACTGGCTGTATCTAATTCCAATGCACGGGTACCAGTGATGGCAAATTGCGGGGAAGTGGGGTGTGTGAGGTAATCTGACCGCGAATTATGTGAACAGGTTCGGGTTAAACACTATTTTCACATTTAAGACAAATATTCATTTTTCAAGTTTGGAATTCAGAAAATAATATATTTTAATGAAAATAATGGCAGTTTGCTTATAAACGTATGTCCGCAAATGATTCGTTTTCCGAGATACGGGGTGTCAAAGTTTTTCTTAAAAACTGACGATTTAATTTATTGCTCTGAAACCGGTCGAGATGTGCAAATGAAATTTGGTGGGTTTTAAGAGGTAGTTATTGCGCATTTTTTGACACGCAATTAAGAATTTTATGTTCATCATTGGCGCGCGTACGGGTAATAATCTCAATTTTTTTAAAGAAAAAAATGGTACGCCACTGAGATATTACAAATTAAAAATCATTTTTGAATTCCTCGTTCAATTTGTGACAAAAAATCTCTCTTGCCTTTTCTTCGTATGGGGCGCCGTTTTGATGCAAAAAAATAAAACATCTTAACGCGTATTTTTTATTTCTTTAATACATTATCAAGAACTATCTAATACAATAACATTAAACCAGAACAATAACAGAAAATAACACTAATAAAATTTTGAAAAGGCGCAAAGCTACAACAAATGTTCAAAATGACCTCCCTCAGACGTGACACAAGATTCAACTCTTCGCCTCATTGATTGTCGTATTCGCGCAAATATTCCTGGTATATTTCTTATTGTCTCACAGCCGACTATAATTCGATTCCTCAGGTCATCAACATTTTCAACGGGAGTGGAATAAACTAATGACTTAAGAAAACCCCAAATGCAAAAATCAAGAGGATTTAAATCCGGCGATCGAGCAGGCCAATGTTCCGTACCTCCCCTACCTATCCAACGATTTGGATATACTGTGTCTAAGTGATTACGTACATTAATGCTAAAATGGGCTGGTGCACCATCATGCATGTACCATAGGTGTTGTCTCAGCTGTAGAGGAATTTCTTCAAGAAGAACAGGTAACTCTTCCTGTAGGAAATTAAGATAAGATTCGCCTGTTAGTCGTTGTGGGAGGAAATATGGACCGATTAAATGATCATCAATTACCCCAAGCCATACATTTACGGAAAACTGATGCTGAAAATGAGCTTCAAAGATTCCATGGGGGTTTTCCTCAGCCCATAAGTGATTGTTATGGAAATTTCGTATACACTGTCGTCCAAAAGTAGCCTCGTCAGTAAACAAAACGGCATTTAAAAAATTAGGAATTTGAGCGATTTGATGATTAATCCATTGGCAAAAAAATAGGCGCGGAAAAAAGTCTCTAGGTAGTAGAGCTTGCACACGTTCAATATGAAACGGATACAATTGCTGTTCTTTAAGAATTTTAAATACAGTGAAGTTGCTTACATTCAATATGTTGGCAATTTTTCGAGTACTTGTTTCAGGTGACTCCGCAATTAACTCGAGAACTGCTTCTTCTAGTTGCACAGTTCGTACTTCTCGAGGGCGCCCACAGTCAACCGTTTGTTTCTTAAATGAACCATTTTCGCGCAAACGTTGATGAAGACGAGCAAATATTGTGTGATGAGGTACCCTACGTCCTGGATACAACTCAGCATACAATCGTCGAGCTTGCCGACCATTTCCATTACTTCGACCATAGACAAAATGCATGTCTGACAATTCCGCATTTGTAAAATTTTCCATTCTTTTCGATAAAAGAAAAATTAATTACTTATTAACACTAATGTTATAGCAAACTAAAAGCTTAATAAATTAATAATGACGAAACGCTAATGTGACATTTCTTAAAAATATTCGTATTTAACAGACAAATGTTGACAGTAGCCTACTAGGTAATGTAGTAAAGAAATAAAAAATACGCGTCAAGATGTTTTATTTTTTTGCATAACAACGACGCCCCATACGAAGAAAAGGCAAGAGAGATTTTTTGTCACAAACTGAACGAGGAATTCAAAAATGATTTTTAATTTGTAATATCTCAGTGGCGTACCATTTTTTCCTTTAAAAATAATTGAGATTACCCGTACGGGCGGCAATGATGAACATAAAATTCTTAATTGCGTGTCAAAAAATGCGCAATAACAACCTCTTAAAACCCACCAAATTTCATTTGCACATCTCGACCGGTTTCAGAGCAATAAATTAAATCGTCAGTTTTTCAGAAAAGCTTTGACACCCCGTATCTCGGAAAACGAATCATTAGCGGACATACGTTTATAAGCAAATAAATATACACGACCTATTGTATCCAAATTTAATTTCATTTGAAGATTTCAGCAAACCAAATCGCATCCTTCTGGTCAAGAAATAAAAAAGTCACGGGTCGTTCGCCAGTTCCAACCCTAACCAAACCTGCTCTTGATTTCAGTTGCGCTGAACTATCCAATAAAATTTTTATATTTCATTATTGGTAGTCTTCCGCTTATTTTCCAACCGCAAGGTAATAACCACGTCACAGTTAATGTAGAGTCCCATATTTGGAAATTATGTGCCTGTTCCGACATAATATATCACCTTATCGCAATTCCAGGCAACCTCGACGCGGATAGTGGGAGGCATTTGGTGGTTTTTTACTCTCATAATAATATCATCGTACACTGCGAATTTGGCGGCCTTCCTAACGGTCGAACGCATGATTACCCCCATTGAGAACGCCCAAGACCTCGCCGAACAGACCGAAATCTCCTACGGAACACTCGAGGGAGGAAGTACTATGACCTTTTTTAGGGTAAGTCGTTTTATTTGTTTATTTAAAACCCTGCGTTGCGGTTATCTTTATCGTAGCACGTTTGCTTTTACGACAGGTTTTTCTAGGCGCAACGCTCAACTGGTTAAAAATTAATGGGGAACCCTTGAAAGGGCAAAACCGGGCATTTACAGCGGCGTAAAATTGATTATTGGCTTTAAACAAGCTAATTTGTTCAAAATCTACGTTTTTGTCTTTGCTTAACTTTTCATTGATTCTGTAAAACCTCACCGAGGTCCAATAAAACTAAACTTTTAACATTTTTTTTTATACAGGGTGTCCTACTTATGACATATTCCTGGTAATATCGATAATAGGAAAAAGTGTCGCAAAAAAGGTCACATCAGATCAGGTTCTCCATATTTTAAAATTATTTGCAATCATACGCTTTTATAGCTAATGATATTATTACAAACAACTATTCTGTGAGCTACAAGCCACGTGTAGCATTAAATTACACCTCCAATAACTAGTAAATAGCTAAGAATGGTAGTCAGGAGAATCACCAGACTTAGATCGCTTTCGAACTTATTCAACTTAACAACTATGTAAACATGAGAATAATATGAATTTCCTCCATCGGTCAAGCATGGGAAAAACTATCCTATTTTATTTTATATTTATACAGGGTGGTTTAGAACTTATCCAAAAAAAATTTTTTTGAAAATTAATTTGTGATTTTAATTTATAAAATTTGACATACCTGATATTACAACAACTATTCAAAATATTGTCCATCGATGTGTAAACACATCCATCCGTCTTACCCAGTTACTACGAACTAATACAAATGTTGTCTTGCTTCACCATAACACAAATGTTTCACCATAACACAAATGTTGTCTTTCCTCACCCTAAATTAAACCGATGTTGCTATACACCTAAGCCATTTTTGACACTTGAAAAACTAATGTAAACACTATCACAAAAACGTTAATACTAAAATCGGATTTCAGTAATCATAATCAACTGGGGCCACGTGGAGACAGCGCACAATCCCAGCGATGTAAGGGTTGTAAATACTACAACTTCGACTATTTTTTGACGCATCTATTCCCAAATTTGTTTGGATAAGTTGTGAATCACCCTGTATATTTTCTTCATACATGTCAGATATAGAAACAATATTTACGAGCGTTAGAGTTTCCAAGTTTTAAATCATGAATATCGTATTTTTTTTGGAACCCTTAATTAAATTATTAAATCTGACAAAACCAGATGGGAAATTTCATTTTCTTTAGATTTTAATTAGACATCTAAGATCTGTTCGTGAATTCCTGGCTCTTCATATTCTTTCTTGCCATTTCAGCCTTAAATAATGCAATTATTAAAGTGAAATATAGGGTTATAAATCTATCATCAAATTCTTGAGTTATTCTAACACGTGATTTGTCAATGTTAACTATCACTTTTTATTCCTTTGTAAAATAATCCTGAAATTTACGCTACACTTACCGGGTATTGAATAGAAACGTAAAGTCAAAGACGAATGGCCATTTACTTGGGATGCCTAGATTATAGTGCAATTTAGAGGATTGCTAGAGAAAAACGAATCTTTGCTTTAGGAAGACGAAAACAGGTGCTTAGTTTTTTGTTTTTTTATGTTAAGTCCGACATTGCACTATAAAAGATTCAGTGAACAAATTCAAATGGTTACGGTTGTTATCGACAATATCTGCTTTAATTTTTTTTTTAATTATCACACTGTGTACTGAAGTACGCCGTACTTTTTACTGAAATACTTCAAAGACAGTCAATTCCGAAGTAATAGCAACTAATTTACTTGATACTTTCTATTTACGTTCGATTAAACTTTTCGTCATTCACCAGAAATACTTCTCCTTATGTTAAATTTCAATGTAACGTTTTATTCACCTTCAGCTACAAGCACCATAGTAAAAGTTTATATAAACTATTCACTACCAACTCTGAAGCTAACATAATTTAAAAATATTACATGATAACTGTACTTTTAACAAAATATGACACCTTCAACAAATATTAATTACCTTTGACTGCTCCTAATAACGTATGCAAAACCTCACAAAGTGCCAAGTATACTGGTAAGTGTAATTTACTCATTTGGCTCCAAGAATCTCGACATTAAAACATGTTCGCTTTGATCTTCCCTGCGCTAACTTAAACACGATATTTTAATGAAAACCACAACTATTTTCACTTAAAATTAAAACTGGTGCTACACAGAAATTGAACAAACAAGTTTTATCACCTCGTTAGATGTATTTTTTTTTTCTTTACTTAATGGTTAATTTTCCATCTGTGATCAAAATTTAAAGTAATAAAACCTTTGCGCTAAAAGTATCAGTCAGAGGTTACTTTTTTTGGAAACAGATTTACTTCTCTGAAATCTGAACACTCAAAAAGCAGACAAATACACATTCAGATTTTTACTTACTTCATCTTTTAAATAGATGACCTATTACAATGTTACTTTAATTGTTTGCATTAGTTTAGTTAGGCCATACATTTCATTACTTTTGTTGTTTGTTTCTGCAACTCTGCATCTCTAGATCTTACTTACAAAAATAAATGCTCTTAACGCCTATTTACCGCAATTTTTCAGTAACTAGACACAAATTTATGTTAATTCCTGCTTATTCTTCCTTACTATTTAAGTAGTTTCAGCGTAATTGTAGGATTTATTTCATTCTTGAATTAACAAATGTAAATTTTATTTATTTTAATGCATCGTAAACATAAGGAGGCAATTAAAGGACTACAGAGATCTAAAAACTTTATTACTCCTAGATGTGCTGCAAGATTTACATACAAATGAATATTAAATTTCCTAAGCTTAGTTTATCCTTAGTTTAATGAGCAGAGATGATGTGTACATCTGTCACAAAATAAACGGAAATGTACATACAGAAGTGTTTGCGTTTTAGTCACAAAATATAATAATGTTTATTGCAGGACTCGAAGATAGGGATATACCAGAAGATGTGGCGCTTCATGGAGGGCAAGAAGCCGCCGGTATTTGTGGAAACCTACGAGGAGGGCGTTCAAAGAGTGCTCGAAGGAAATTATGCCTTTCTGATGGAGTCAACTATGCTGGACTATGCAGTTCAAAGGGACTGTAATTTGACGCAAATTGGTGGACTCCTGGACTCCAAAGGATATGGGATAGCGACGCCAAAGGGCAGTCCTTGGAGAGATAAAATATCTCTGGCTATCCTGGAGCTCCAGGAGAAAGGAGTGATTCAAATTCTGTATGACAAGTGGTGGAAAAACACCGGGGACGTTTGTAACAGAGATGATAAAAGTAAAGAGTCCAAAGCCAACGCCCTGGGGGTAGAAAATATCGGTGAGTAGAAAAAACAGTTTTATACTGAAACAATGTTACTGCTGCGGTCAAATTTATACGGGGACCTTTGTTTACTCTTCTTCAAGGATACAGAAATATAAAAATGGAAAATTAAACCTACAAACATTGTTCAATTCTAATTCAATTAAATGTTTCTAAAAAGTGTCAATAAGGGAAGAGACAAGAGTAGTTTTACAGATATAAATGTGTTTGTTTTTTCATTGAAACAAGAATCATTTCGTTAATCTTTAACTCAAAAGGCTTAATTCCTTAAAATTATATAAAATTCACTGATAAAACGAAAACATTTTATTCTTAAAAATCCTACGGAATTTTTTGCCGTTCCTAGAGATTTATCGGAGAGAATTCCTAAAAAAGTGACCTTATAAATCGTACCCCGTAGACAGCGCAAGGCCTCCCATTGATTTACCGAATTTTTGGAGTAATTTATTCAAGGTGATAAGTTGCGTAGAGCTGTCAGTTTTACCGAAAACTTTCCAACTCGTTCACCTCAGCTACCCCTAACTTCGTAATAAAGATGTCAGGAGGGCAGTTTCCTATTCAACAGGTAGCCCACCCTCGGATTCCGTACATAACTTTCCCTATTTACACCTCAGTTTCAAAGTAATATTTTCTCCTGTTTCACTTGTTTGCCCTGCCATATGGAATCCCATGAAGGATGCGAGAACCGGGGGGATTTGGGCATAGGTCTCTTTAAGTGAATAGTACGTACATCTGGCACAAATGAGGACAGTACGAAACTTGATGGACGATGATATCAAACTAATAGTCCAGCGGATAAAATAAGCGATCTTTTTTACTCTGATTGTGAGATTTTTGTGTATGTTTTGAGGTCATCAATTGAAACGTTATTTGCTGCAAAAATGTGAGAAAACTTCAAAAATTTTTGTTTCCTTTTTAATCATGATTATGAAGTGTTTTTTTTTTTCAAAAGACTGTTTGAAACAAACGGTTCGCTAGCTCGAGATGAAACTTCACAGGGTTCTTCTGGGTATATCGAACTGTAAAAGTCATGCTTAACATTAGTCATTTCATGAATATTTCTAATTTAGCCGTCAATTTTCCAAAAAACCATAAATTACCTTTTTTTCCTGTTTTTTAAAATTAGTATAAAAGATGAAAAAAAAAATTCCAAAAAGTTGCGACAGCATGTTATAGGAAATTTATTTCAGTTTTCGAAACTGTTCTTCAATTCTCTGTACGACCATTTTCTGCCGAGATATCGATGATTGAAGACAAATGAATGCTTTCAAGGGAAACATTTGGGGTAAAAGATACCCCCATACCTTTAGAGCTTTTAGAAAGAGCACTAGAATTTTACATTACTGCAAAGAAAACTGATATTTCATTTCCTTTTTTTTTTAAAGAAAATTGTAAGTAACTATATGTCGGTTATTCTACAGATATAAAACGGTAAATGTCTTCTTTATAAAATCTAGGTTTATGTTCTATAAAAAGCATTACGTATAGCTTTTATCTCATTTATTTACTTCTTTCAAGCACACATTTTTGGTTAGAAAAAGGTATAGCTCCACATTTATTTTAAAACAACAAAATAGTTAGTTATGTATCGAAGCCATGTATGAAAAATCATTTATTTATTAATTCTTGAAACATATTATTTTGTTTACATTATACAGGGTTATCCAAAAGTCCCGGTACGGCAGAAAAACTTTCGAGGAAAGCATTTTGGGAATAAATGTTTCAGACAAAAGTGTAAGGATTTTTCCCTGGCTATCTGATGGTGTCCTTGGATTTGACTCTGACTTTGACCTTCAAGGTCATGTGAAGGTCAAGTTAAATTTTTAAACGGGAACCCCTATTTTTTATTGCGGATTTGGAAAGAGCAGCAAATTTTACGTCCAAAGATGGTCTTGACCATAACTTTGACAATGACCTTCAAGGTAACTCCAAGGTCAAAGTTGTTTTTTCATTGGTAACCCCTATTTTTTATTACGGATTTGGAAAGAGCTGAAATTTAACCTTCAAGTGCGACCTTGACTACGACTTTGACAATGACCCCCAAGATTATGTCAGTCAGGTTAATTTGACATTGAAGGTCATGGTCAAGGAATTGGTCAAGGTCATAGTTAAACGTAAAATTTCCTGCTCTTTCCAAATCCACAATAAAAAATAGGAGTTCCTATTAAAAAAAATTAACTTGATCTTCAAGTGACCTTGAAGGTTAAAGTCAAGGTCAAATGTAAGGTCACCATTAACTTTTGTACTTTTTCGATACCTCAAAGGCGTAGAGCTAATTTAATTCAATTCTACAACTTTTTGTAAATCTATTTATGTTCCTAGATATAAAAGATCGAATTAAATTAATTTCGGCATTTTAAATATTGCTTTTTAAAATCTGAAATTACTCATTATTCTTAGTTTCTGTTACTGTTCCTTTCAGGAGGCGTTTTCGTGGTACTGCTGTGCGGCCTCGCTTTAGCGATTCTAGTCGCGATCCTCGAGTTCTGCTGGAACAGCAAGAAGAACGCGCAGACGGACCGACAGTCGCTGTGCTCGGAAATGGCGGAGGAGTTGCGGTTCGCGGTGCGATGTCACGGTTCGAGGCAGCGACCGGCTCTCCGGAGGTCGTGCACGAGGTGCAGTCCTGCCACCACGTACGTACCAGCGGCGCTGGACCTGCCGCACATCAACGGGGTATGTAATGGGAGTAATCAGCAAACTTACATAAAGTTCGTTGGTCAAGAAATTTTATATATAGCTTTGAATGTTAGCCAGCACCTTATGTTAAAATTACGTAATTTCTACATTTATTTAGGCTCATTTTTACTTATGGCTAAACCTAAATGACGTTAAATTTGTGTAAAAAAGGGAGGTGAGTGGGGACTGAGTCGACGTTCAATCACATCGTATGAATGTAACAGAAATATCAAAAACTGAAAAGGAACGTCACGTTAATACTCATTTACATTCAGACAGCCGACTAATTCTGTTATTCTCTGTGTGTATTTTACCCATTGCAGTCGTGCTGTAACAAATTTTAGCTTTCGCCACATTACCACAAAGTTCTTCTGGGATATCATTCCCAAACTTTTAAAAGTGACAAATTATTTCAGTTTTTGCGCTCCGCCTACCCCCAAACAAAATGTTCGAGTGTAATCTTTACATTACACATTCCACAATATAAACAACATCCGACAGAGTTTGCTTACTATTTGTCATTCATCTTTCTCACAATGCCCCCGCTGTGTAAATTTGTTTTACATCTGGTGTTTTTTATGACCTTACTTTTCGGTGATTTACGATCTGTCTTGTTATATTTATCATCGCAGCGCGCACTGCCGCCGCAGTTCCGAATTTTACGGGACTGGTGTAATTTGTGGATTGTTTTTGTGACGTTATTTAGAAAAATATCGCCGCACGAAGTTTGCATTGAATTTTCCAGTCGTCAATCATTAAAATTGAATTTTCTTGCAGTCACAACAAAACGTACAGCAGTAATCAAAACTTGGAGAACTTGTTTCGTATCGCTGAGTATTCTGGGTGATACACGATTAAGGAACATTCTGTTCTAAAGTTTTTACAAGCTTTTTCGTACAAAAAAAAAATAGAAAAAAGCTGCTTAAAAAAATGTATTTGAAAACTTTCACGAACTCTTTTTGTAACTGTAATCCCTCTGTACAGTAAAAACTGTAGCTATTTTAAAAGCTACAAAAGCACTCTTCGTCTTCGCCCATCTACTGTTTTTATCTAAATGTATCCCTTATATTTGGGTCTTATAAATATAAATGAGTAGTCTATTTCTTATTCGTGGTCCTATTGATATTTTTACAGTTTTTGTTCAATCACAGCTTCCAAATACCTCCCTTTCATATTGATGGTATTTTTTTGGTTGCAGGAGAGTGTTATCCTACCGATGATGGATATGAAAAAGTCACCAATCACATACGATGTGGACACCTAGCGACGACTACAAACTGGGGGGTACTCAACTTTTGCTTGCCCTTCCAACGCCATTAGAGACTGTTGCGGAGGGCCTTCCAGTTCGAGGTAAGCAAAAATACAAATACAAGGTAATTCGTCTATAAATAATGGTCGGATATCCCCACCGAGGAAAGTTACTTAATAAATGTGAAAAAGAAGACAATAAATAACATACCAGCGAGTGTATACGTGAGAGACTCTCACCGACTTAAAAATGACCGGTTACTTTTTGTTTAATTTATAACTAACTTTGTTACCGTTGATTAAATGAATAAATATCATGAAGGGAGAAATTGAAATCAGTGTTTACGTTATATTTTTCTTGTGACAATGTATAACTTTTTGGAATATTACATTCTCTCGAATATCCTAATATAATACCCTTAGAAGAGCAGAAAGGGATAAAACGAGATATTTATTCCCGACGTAGTGGTGACCTAGATGTTACTATTGTTGCAAAACTTCGGTCTTTGAACCTTACCCTCGATATTTATAGTTGAAGCTTCCACTGTTTACCACTAATTCTACAACAGCAAGAACATTGAAATAATTTTAATTTACGTTTTTTGCAGCATAAATTATGCGAATAATCATTATTTGAATTACAAAAAAACAATTATGAATTGGTCTACAACAAACATATCGTTTTATAAAAATGATACTCCATAATAACCTTGATCTTGAAGTCAAGGTCGAAAGAACATGTCAAGGTCATATCGGTTTTTGGAGCAGCGACCCCTTATTTCGACGTTAGAAATAAGAGTACGTAGAATTCTACATGTAATTATGGTCTTAAACGAGACTTTAAGATTAGTGGTCAAGGTCAGATGGAGGTCAAGTGATTATTCCGGCTGTCATTTTTTATTTTTGACGAGGGAATAGAAGGACTACTAAGGAGTACCATCAGGTATCTACTCAAAGACTGACACACCTGATTCCATAGTTAAAAATAAAAAATTACAGTAATAATCAACATTTGACCTTGAACTGACCTTGACCATTGACCTTGACGTCACGGTCAATGTCATATTCGGATGCAGAATGTTCAGCTCTTTCCATTTCCGGGGTCGAAAAGGGGGTCGCCATTTAAAAAACCGACTTGATCTTGATATGACCTTGAACTTTGTCCTCACCATTTATCCCAAAAATGCTTTCCCGCTGAGATTTTTGGCGGCCTCCTTACCTTTGACTAGCCCTGTATACTGTACACGTGCTGTACTTACAATTAGTGATATTCACTACTCGAAAGTTCAGAACGTATTAGACTCCGTCCCCCACCACTTGCCACCGCGCATCCTACCCTCACGGCTCAAATGAATCTAGTTTGCAAGTGCTATGTACTTATTGCAGGCCGCAGCGGGCGGCGACGCTCAACTACAAGACCTCGCCGCAGTGCCCCGACCTGGGAGCCAAGAGCGCCACCCTCGGCCGCTCGGAGCGCCGCGGCGTCGCCTGCGACGTGGTCCAGAGCGGGCTGCAGCACCAGCAGAACGTTCCGGACAAGATACTCTGGAAGTTCGATTGTGATATCGGTAGTCCGAACAGTCCGGATGTAGTGAACAGGACATTGCCAGACGCGATCGTAAGTAGGACCACCACCTTGTGATATACATGTAGACGTAGTTTGGTCGCTTAGGGCGGTTCTCGGGGATGAGCGGAATAAGCGGGCTAGAGATTTTAGTTCAATCACGCCTGCGCGCATTCAATGTTTTGTATCCATCAATTTTTGACCTAATAAGTTCGAGAAACTGTAATAAAGAAATGATCACAATTTCACAGTATTTGTATTTCGAAAAAATTAGCCCAATTTCATGACTATCAACTTTTAGAATAAAAATCATGATAACAGCAAACAACAAGTACATACTCGTACAATTTATGATAGGCTAACGTAATTGCAATATCAAACGTATATACAGGGTGTTCCCTACATAAATTTTGTCTCACACCGTTTGCCACGTGTGCAAAATATACTTTTCTTCTTGTATTAAGATCGACACCCAATATCTCAGAAGCAGAGTACTTTGAAGAAAGAATTGTCAAAATTGTAGAACGTAACTTAAATTGGTACAATTTAAATTCAAGTTAAAAGTTACTGAAATTCATTAAATTGTACAAAAAATTAGAACCATTATATTGGCCAATTTCTTGATCAATTTATTGAGTCAAAAATTGGAAAATATAAAACAAACAGGTTCATTTGATATTTTCCCAATGACATGTCATTTATAAGATACTGCGGTATGCCAAAAACTTAATCTAAAAGTCTTATAATACACGGGAGAGAAAAATTCAACGTATACCCAAATTTTTGGGGTCACTTGAAGGCCAACATTTGTCTTTTGAAGCTAATACCTCTGAATACCGTTACTGAAGTTAACAAAAATAATGCAATCTAAGTTTACAGACTCTTATACAGGGTGATTCAGAATTTATCCAAAAAAAAATTTTTGAATGTACAGGGTGTCCCAAAGTTCGCGTCTCGGGCCTATAACAGACAAACGGAAAACTCGCTAAGGTCCGTTTTGCACTGGAAATTTTTTTTTTTCAAAATTCGGAAAACAAAAAAAAATGACGTCAACTTTTCACAAACATACCCATTTTTTATGATAACTAAAATTCTGTCTATTTTTTAGGCACATTTTTTGTGCAGAAATTTTTTTCTCTATCTCTTCTCCTTAAAAAGGAACTAGTCATGACTTAATCAACACTGTGAAAAACAATCGCTGTAACTCCTGTCACAAATTTATTTACATACTAGTACCTATTCTTAAAGATCATTCCACGAAGAAAAATAGATCATTCCATAATAACGGTTAAATAGGATAACAAATATAGGAAATATTGAACAATCTTAATTGTAACTAATAACATACAAACCCATTAATTCCAATTCACTTAGTTCCGAAAGTATTTTTTTAAATAGTCTGTAACTATTTTAGTTTTATGTGGAGGAGCACCATCGGATCGTGTTGCAACCACATATTCAACATGAGCTGCATAAATTAAAACGATATCTATCAACGAGTTGCTATACTCGTAAGCCATTTATGACACTTGAAAAACTAATGTAAACACTATAGCAAAAACGTTAATACTGAAACCGGATTTCAGTATCCGGAATCGCCTGGGGAGGGAGAGCGCATTGATTACAGCGCACAACGCGAGTGACGCTAGAGACTACAGTAGCCCAACGATGTAAGGGTTGTAAATACTCCAACTGCAACAATTTTTTTCTCGGAAACTATAAGGATTTTACACAAGATTTTGTTACGAAATTCACTACATTTGCATAACACATCTATTCCCAAAAGTTGTGAATCACCCTGTATTATCTGTAACCTCAATTAAGGAAAAATAGTTTTCTCGTGGTACTTCTTAACTGAATTCAACATTTTCAACTATTCCCTTCATTCCACCACTAAAATTAAACCTTACAGTTTTTTTACTAATCATTTTAATAATCGAGGCCCGCTTCTTCGCATCGCTCATTTCACTTAAAAATTCCGCCCTAAGCGACCGTACTAGACTTTAGTTTATTAATGAACAAAATGAACTGACGTTTGTACCAACTGTATTTATATTAGTAGAGATACATTATTTGTGTTTCTAAGGAAAATGTGTTTCAGATTTTGCGTAGGCAGATATTTTTTTTATAAGAAAGTAAATATATGTTTGGAGTAAATATTTTCTCACGAACTAATTCCAGTTACATATAGTAAACAAAAGTAAGTCAACCCGTGTCTCATTTTTACACAAGATTAACTCTACCTACGCGATATGAAGTTTTACCTGCTTGTTATCGATTATAACTGCGTTGTCAGTACCTGTAACAGTAAAATCTACCATTACAGTTATGTAACAAATTTTATCAACACCCTATACATATGTTATTCATTTTTTATACACAAATACGTTGAGATATTAATCAATTCCAAATCTATTTTACTGTTCCGTTAAAAATATCTGTCTGCTTAAATTTATATATTTGGAAATATTTTGTAAAAAAAATTGTTGTACTACATACATTTCTTTCTGGACATTGTAAATATGCATCTATTACTTTTTGTCGTTTCCGTCCACTAAATTTTATTGATGTTGATTAAAATTTGTTTGGCCCTTTATGTAAAACTAAGCTTTACAATCAGTCTTCTTGTTACGATTTCTATATGTTATTGTTACACTTCTCAACGCGTCAATGTAAATTACCGATTTGTTTTGAGATATTATTGAAATCTTTAAACTGTTATTTATCACTGTTAACTTATTTCCACTGATTTTTTATAGTTGAAAGATGTTATGATGAATGTAACCAAGTATTACAATAAATTAATTATAAAAACCTCCGGCGGGTATTTTATTTTCCAATTTCAAACTTCATTTTCAGAAATAGCTATCCAATAATTTTATTTGAAGGATAACACATTTTAAAATTACTCCAGGTATATTGTCCAGCGATTCTGTAGGAACATAACCGGAAATATTGCATGACCATGACAATTTGCAACTCACCTACACTGAATTGGCCGAACCGCAGTAAAATTATTCAGTTGTCATGGTCACGCGCAAATCAAATAACTAATTACAAATTCGATTCGGTTATTTACATAGATTGTCCCAGTTCGTTAGGCCCATGACAGAAAGAGACAGCCACACGGGGAACCCTCGCAAGGTAGGTAGTGTACAAAATATGCAGTGATGCAAATTGATAAGTTTTGCACCTATTTTATAATTGAGACATACTGTATATCTACCATGTAATATAATGATTTATCCGATTTAAAATGAGCAAAGAGAAATAAAAAACAAATCAAATAACAACAAAAACAAACAGAGGGCCAACTTAATGGGTTCATGTCCAAAATTGCTTCAACTTTACTTCCGTTTTAATTTTGCAACGAAAATATTGACGCAAGACAAAAAAAAACATTCAATCGAAATAATAACGTAAATGCTACAAATCCAATATAACTTCCAATT